CTCGTCATCTTCCTCGTCGACGTCAAATGTCTTTTTTCTGCCTGGAGGACCAGCGTCCGAGTCGTCCGAGTCATCATCCGATTCCGCTACAGTCTCTCTGATCCTTTCAGCGCTTTGTGAGTCAATTTTATCCCTTGGAGTCCTGCCGATCCCGGCCTGCACGTTCACGTCTTCGTCCAGATGTTCGAAGATGTCAATGGTCGTAACAGTCGGTTGCTGTCCAGCCGCTACTTCGTCGAGTAAAGGATCTGGCCGACATCTCGGGAAGTCTGAAGTCAAAAGATCTAGCACTGTTCGATACACCTCGCCCGTAACCTCTCCGAGCATTTCCGTCGCAAATTCAGCGAGTCGCTGGTTCCGTAGCTCGACCAGGCATCTCTCGTAGTTGACTCTTACTACCACGTTAGGCTGCTACTTGTTAGTCCTGCTCCATGTGCTGATCATTGAGTTGACTCACGTTCAACTTTGGAGCGTCGTAGTCATGTCCGTTTTGTGATGCGCCGTTGGTAAGTTTTCGTTTTTTAGGTTTTGGCCCCCCGCTCATATCAAGTTGACGCTTGAGTGTCTTGGACTGGTCCCTGTAGGTCCTGGTACGATCAATGATCTCGCGCTGAGCCTCGCTCTTTCCCTTAGAGGCCTTTTCGCCTGGCCGAGGCTTGGTAACGTCATCTTCAATCTCACGGTATGCATCTTGAGGGTTGCGAAGACTTTCGGGCCGGACCGTCTCAATAATTTCCGATCGAATCAGGCGAACAAGGACTGAATTCAAGTGGCCTTCTGACTCAATGAGTCCATCGTGTGAGTCATGGTCTCCGTTGGCATGTCCATTGATTTTGGGTGCTCGGGAGCCAAAAGCCTGGGAAAGATCTGCGATTCGCGCATGACCTAGCTGGATCAGAGTTTGGGTAAGTTCCCGTTCGGCAGTGCCATATTGTGTTTCTATCACATCAAGAATTTTGCCCGACCGAACAAGATTGTAGCAGGCATCGGAATTTGCTTGGTAGCTCGTGATGTTGGTATTGGGATCTGTGTGGTGGTAAATGAGGTTTTGCTGGATTAAGACAGCGAGGCCATTTCGCAGATATCGTGGAGTAAGAGAGGTATATTGGATCAGTTGCGCAATCGTCGAGCGGCCTTTGGTCAGTAGCGCATTCAAGATTCGCTGTTTGCGACGATCAGGTCAGCCCCGCGATCTCACTCGTATTCATGATATGGGTTACAAAAGCTTGCGTACCGAAGGAAGTTCACCATGGAGGTCATTGACTAGGAGAGCACAAAGCTCTGCAGCGTGTTTTGTCTGTCCGTGGCAGTTTTATTAGCGGGTCGCGTCTTGATGGTCGTTAAGCTGCATCAACTCACAACGAGCATTGCTTGCTCCTAGAGATCCTCTCACTATCTCTAGAGCTTCCCCAATTGCTACCTCAGCGTCATTGATTTTCAAAAGACTATGGGGAAAGAGCTGGGGCACGCAGGTGCGAGATATAGAGAAACTTAGTATGAATATCGTGGGTTGTAAAGTGGAAGTGCAGAGGCTAGAATGCAAGATGAAGTCAAGAAGGCTGGGATGCTTTTTTTTTCTTGGCGCAAACGCAAACCTATGGATCCCGTCAAGTTAATTTTTTGCCTGCGGCTCTGGTGTAAGTCAGGAGCTGGTAGGCCTAGGCCCAAAACAGTGGAGTGTAATGCCTGAGGTCTTTTGAAGTGCCTATGCCAGGCTCAAATATCACTGAAGCAATACTGAGCCAATGCCGCGGGTGCAAATCTGGCTGACCGGAATGATCACGTGATGAAACTTTCGTCCCCGTAGCCCGAAAATTAGACGGGACCTTTTCGACGAGGCACTTCTCTTGGAGATCAATTGCTTCACCCAGACGGCCGAAGGATTGCCAATTGCCTACGCCATCAATATGATCTCGAGATCGACCCTTGCGCGAACCGCGCAGCAGGCTGCCCGCCAGTCCTGCCGCGTCCAGCGACGAACATACGCCGCCGCTGCTTCGACCGGATCATACGAGACCTCGGATGCGTCTGGCCTCAAGATTGCCTCACGGGATGCCCACGGCCCTACTACTAAGCTCGCTGTTGTAGCTAAGGCCGGTACTCGATACCAACCTCTCCCCGGTCTGACTGCTGGCCTTGCCGAGTTTGCCTTCAAGGTAAGGGACATAGAGGAGGGGATCGAAAAAGGAAACCCAGGACTTGAGCTAATTTGCCGGCTCTATATAGAACACCCAGCGACGATCTGCTCTTCGCATCACTCGCGAGTCTGAGCTCCTTGGTGGTCAATTGGCTTCTTCCCACTCCAGGGAGGCTGTTATTGTCGAGGCCAACTTCCTCCGCGAGGATCTGCCTTACTTCACTGAGTTGCTCGCTGAGGTCATTTCCATGACTAAGTACACTAGTGAGTAAACACTGATTGCGCATTTACATATCGGCATTTTAGGTACTAAGACCTCTTACCAGCCCACGAGTTCCACGAGGATGTCGAGCGTGTTCTTCACCATAAGCAGGCCGCCCTCAACGCCGACGTCGCCGCCACTGCTCTTGACAACGCCCACGCCATCGCTTTCCACTCTGGTCTCGGTTCCTCCATCCTCCCCAGCTCATCAACTCCCTACCAGAAGTACATGAACGAGGAGTACATCGCCAGCTTCGCCGATGCCGCTTACGCCAAGTCCAATATCGCCCTCGTCGCCGACGGTGCCTCTGCCGATAGCCTCTCCAAGTGGGTTGGTCAATTCTTCAACGATGTGCCCTCCACCCCCCGAAACGGCCAGACCCTCAAGACCGAGGCCGCCAAGTACTTTGGTGGTGAGCAGCGAACAAACTCCACTGCCGGCAACTCTATCGTCATTGCCTTCCCCGGTACCAGTTACGAGTCTGCCAAGCCTGAGAACGCTGTCCTGGCTGCTCTCCTCGGTGGCCAGTCAACTGTCAAGTGGGCTTCTGGCTTCAGCATGCTGGCCAAGGCCACCGCTGGCACTGCCGGTCTCACCGTCAACACCTCCAACCTCCTTTACTCTGACGCCGGCCTCCTTGCCGTTCAGCTCAGCGGTCCTGCCGCCTCTGTCCGCAAGGGTGCTGAGGAGGCTGTTAAGGTGCTCAAGGCCATCGCTGATGGCAAGGCCAGCCAGGAGGATATCAAGAAAGCCGTCGCCAACGCCAAGTTCAACCTCCTGAGCCAGAACGACCTCCGACAACCCAGCGTTGTCCTCGCCGGTACTGGCATTGTCAACACCGGCAAGCCTTACGACTCTGCTGCTCTTGCCAAGGCTATCGACGGCGTTTCCGCCGAGTCTATCAAGGCTGTAAGTTTTAAACATTTGTTGAAATCATAAACAGCACTAACAACTTCACGTCTAGGCCGCCAAGACCATGCTTGAGGGTAAGACCACCGTCTCTACTGTCGGTGACCTGTTTGTTCTGCCCTACGCTGAGGATATTGGTCTGCGAGTATAAAGGGGGTCCAAGAAAGAAAAAAGCTTGTACCAACAGTCAAAGTTTAGAAGAGCCGTGGGAGAGGATGTCCTCTTTGTGAATATTTATAGTAGAAATCTTTCGAACCATTCCAAGGTTTCGTTTCCGTTTTCTAACTTATATGAGAGCTCTGTAGCGCTTGGCTGTTGTTATGACGGCCCGGTCGATTTGGCGTTTCCCATTGCAACATGATACCTCAACCTTTTTACAAAAGCAGCGCTTTCTTCCAACTAACAATTTCCATCAAAAGTGCATAATGACTGGGTGCCATTGGGAATACCAGTCTATGCGGAGAACCCAAATTGAGCCTCAAAACATCCTTACCCAGTCTGATTGGGCACCAGACTGGTGTACCTACCTACCTTTGTTTGGGTGACCCTGTTTGCACTTATAGATATCCCATCTAGATGCTCTTTTAGGTAGGATCGAGAGCTAGTCAGCTTGGTGCAGATTGTCTTGACCACTCATGTTTTCAGGCAGGGCTTGTCCGCCCCAAACTTGCAGTCCATCGTATTCGTGGGCACACAAGCTGTGCAACCAACGCTGCGCCATCACGAAAATACAACATTTCACGCCCAAAGTCCAACACAGAATGAGGCTTTGTTCGCTGATGCTGATGCTGATCAAATATGGCACTAGCAATCGCTGCAGATCTGCAGGCGTGAGCATAATATGGGGTCGTTTATGCGCACTGTACTGCTACCACCGTGTGCTCCAGCAACACGCCCAGTGAACCTAGAATCGCATACATTGAATATCTGCAGCACACGATTGCCTAGCTATTTCATCCTACCTGACTCACAGTAAACCTGATGGTTGCAGCTTATCGTGACTCGCTGAAACTTAATGATCTTGTTGACATATGTTGGGTGACGACCAGTACCGATTCAGCAACATCCGCACCCAGTGTTGTATATAAGCAGAACTTCAAAAACGACGACTGCAAACCTCCCGCCAATATTCTACCCCAAAAGGATCCACAATTTATTTTGAGCCAGTATCTCGACTGCCATACTACGGCACTCCTAACAGCTTGCAGTAGAGTGCATACCAGATCAAAAGGAAATTTTCCAGTCTACCTTAGTACGTATGTACATGCCTTAGTTAGTAGGTAAATTTCAATATTTCTATTTTGTCCAGGGACCCCTCTCTTTTTCCGGCAGGACAAGAACCCTGCCGCGGCCGTCCCCAGTAACTAAAGGGAAAAGCAACGACTGCAACAAGGGACTTTGGCCCCTTGTCATCCACTAATTCCGCCCAAACTAGGTGGCCAGGTACCTGCTGTGCTGTCGAATACCGTACCTTACAGACCTAGGAAAGGTACCTTAGCTGCCCACGGGAGAAAACAAAGGTCCAGGTCCCCCAAGCCTCAACCACCAACGTCTACTGTTGAACCTTCGTCTCCTCGTTGTTTGGACTCTCCCTTTCACTCACGACTGAAACCCTCCTTTCGCACCTCCGCTCCCTGCTCCTATTGCCCATTGCAAGGCAATTGTAACAGCACGCGAGCTGGACGACATACTCTAGATCGCCGCATCTGAACCCTTTTCTTCGGTTCTGGCCCACGCGAGGTAAACCACTCTAGCCCCTCTCTTCTTCAACTTTCCTCGCCCGTTTTCCTGGACAGCCTTTTCGATTTGAGCCGCCTTTTCGCTTCTCCTCACACAAACGCCCGACTGGGCCGACTCTGCCACTTCAACTTGCCAAGCACAATCCCTCTCAGATCTCTCTTTCAAAAACTCAAAATCGTATTTTCTCGTGGATGTGTCCAATTACTAACGCTTATGGCTTTGAGTTAGCAGTTAGCAACTTACTTGAGCTTTAGCCTTCATACCGCATAACGCAGTCGTTGCATTCTCCCAACCGACTATTACATTAGCCATCTCTAGGTAGTGTCGTCAAAAGGTACGTCTGTCTTGCCTGTGGCTACAACAAGATGTGTCCCTAGCCCGCATCCCAATGGATTTCGCATCCTTTATCGACTACCCCAAACCCCACGGCCTTCGGGTAGCCCACCGTAGTCACGTCATGGCTTAGGACGTGGCCTCTGATACCTTCCTCAGCTCTCCTCCCACATTCGTTGCTCAGTCTGAGCAACTTGGAAAGTGCTAGGAATACTAACGCCTTCTACTCAGGTTCGAGGAATTGCCCCGATCACTTGCGAAACCGAACGAGACGACAACGCTCATCCCGCATCATCACTTCAAGATTCTTTTCGGTTACCTGGATGGTGACCAGTCTGCATAATCCTTGACACTCTTTTAATAATTTACCTAACGACTGGAGCATTCACGATATGCCCGGTCCGAAGAAGGATGGAATAGCCGGTGGAGGCTCTGGAGGCAAGCAGAATGGTTCGTTAGACAATCTTACTCGGCTGTATGATTTATCTAACATTGGCCGACACAGGAAACCGTTCTTCTTTCCGAACCGATTCGGCTATCTCCAAGAACCGATTTGGCAATGAGCGGGTTCTTCAGCCCTGGGTTCCCGATGCGAACGACACTTTCAATGGTAGTCTTGAAAAGGCCAGCGGCAGTGGCACCTGGGACCAGTTTGCTGAGAATGAACGACTCTTTGGTTTAAAGACTAATTACGACGAGAACTTCTATACCACCGCTATCGACAAGAGCCATCCTGATTACAGAGAGCGGTCTGCTGCCGCAGAGAAGAAGGCTCGCGAAATCGAACGTAGCGCGCCTACTACTGCCCACGTGGCTGAGGAACGTATCATGGATTACGTTGGTGGAGAGGACGGAGGTGATGAAGAGGACAAGTAGGTATTCTGACTGCTTCGTCTGTCCGATCGTACTAACATAATCGTCTCCAACAGATACAGTGGTGTTCGACGCCAGGACTTCCCACCTCTGTCAGCTGGGCGGGAGAACAAATACACTCCACCAGCCAAGCGTGCACCTATGGCTCAGTCCACTGTCAAAGGAGCTCCCATTGATCCTGCTATCATCTCCTCGCAGATCAAAGCGCCTCCAAAGAAGCAGAACACGCCCACCCCTGAAGAATCAAAACCACAGGCTTCTGAGGCGATCAAGAACGGGTCAGTTTCCAAAACCGAAGCGCCAAAAGCCTCTGCAGAAGCCAAAGCTGTAGAAGCATCCGCCAACAATGCTAAGCCCGCTGTACAGCCTGCCAACGGTAAGGCAGCTGAGACGAAGCTAAATGATGCATCCAAGGCCAATCCCAGTTCCTCGAACGAAGCCCCTACCGCACCCGTTGCCACTTCCACTGTCGAACGTGATGTGCTGAAGGAATTCAAGGCATTCGCCAACCGAGAGCGTCAGATAACAGAGAAGGCTCGGAACAACAAAGCCAAGCAAGACAAGGAGGTCAAATTAACGGAACTCAAGAAGTTTGCCAACTCATTCAAACTCTCAACTCCAGTCCCCACAGATTTGGTTTCTATCATCGCCAAAGACCCTCTTAAGCAACAGCAGATTCAGGCCAAGGCTATCAAGAATGCTGAAGAGGTGGCCAAGGCCAAGGCTAGTGCTGTAACAAAGGATAAGGTTACTCCGTCAAAGGATACCCAGGCCAAAACTTCCGGCCAAGGCACGCCTGCCGCTGCTGGCACATCTGTTCCTCCCAGTGACACACGCGCAGCTCGTGCCCCGGCTGGCGCTCAGCCCGCAACAACAGCTGGAAACCAGCCTCGCCATCCCAGTGCTCGCCAGCAATACGCTCAGCAACCTTATCACGGACAGCAATACCGAAACAACCGTATGCCTCCACCACAGCAAACAGGCAACTTGGCCTCGCGACTCCGTAACGTTGAGCAACAGAAGTTCTCTCAGACTCCAGTACCTCACCAGCCTAATGCTCCTGGTCAGGGTCAGGTTCAGGAGATGCGTGCCCCACCAACAGGACCAGCCAGCGGCGTCGAAACTGTTTACAATCGACGCCTCAGCGGCAACCCTAGCCACATGGGTGCAAAGTTGAACCCCAACAGCCACGAATTCAGACCCAGCCCGTTCGCAGCTGCTTTCAACCCCAACAGCCATGCCAGTACAGCTTCGAGTCCTCGATCTGCGGCAAACAACGTTGATGTTACGACAAACAATACCGTGTCTGACAGTCAGCTTATCCGCCGCAAGACCAAGGCCATTGATGTTAAGAAGTGTTATATCCTGTCCCATATTCAAACCTTGACTCCTCCTCATGGTCGAAACTGGGATGACAATGCTGGCCTGCGTCCTTCTTATGACACTTTGCCGACTTGGCGACAGCTCCAGGACAATGAGAAGCCAGAATCCACCATGCATCTGACTTACAAGGAGTATTTCGAGCGCCAGCCATTTGGCGGGCCTGCGCTGGCAACCCCCAACCCGCAACATGTCGTTCCTCAGATCCCACACCAGCATCAACTGCCTTTCCATCTCCAGCAGGGCGCACACAACATGGCTCCGAGGGGATCGCCTCATATGCCTCCTATGCAGATGCACACCCCTCAGCACAGTCACGTGCCCCATCCACCATACGGTAACGACGACCACAGGATGATGCACTCCAACTCAGCTCAGTCATTTGCTTCACCTCGTCTTGGTAACGTGCCTGTGGCGTATAACTCACCTCAGGTACCATACAACCAAGCTGTTTTCATGGGGCCTGGCACCCCTCAAATGAACCAGTACCGCAACTTCTCCAACAACCACCAGTACATGACACCTCAGCAGGGCCAAATGGGCGGTCCTATGATGATGCCGCAGCAATTCATGCCCGGGCCTCAAGGGATGGTTCCTGGCCCGCAGATGATGTATCCTGGTGGCCACCCGCAATTCATGCCTCCATCTGGACCTCAGCCAGTGCCTGGTGTTAACGGTTACCCAAGCCCTGGTCGTCCGGCGGCACCAATGATGGCGCATCAAGGTTCGCAACAGGGACAGCCCATGTATGGAATGAGCCCCAATGTGCAATACAACCAGCCGGTCTTTAACCCTGGTCAGCAAGGCGGTCCAAGTAAGTCGTTCTGATGTCTGTCAACAAGCAGAGAATTAACAGGTGGCTAACGCCAGTGCAGTGAGAGGTGGATACGGTAGCCCTGGTCCTCAGCATTTCGGTACAAGCCCTCAACAAGGTCACCAATATGGTGGGCAGCACAGGAGTGGGAGCAACTATAACAAGGGTTACGCAAACCAGGGAGCACACCAGACACCTCAGGCAAACCATGCGGTGCCTGCTGCGAACCCAGCTCGACCTTCCGAAGCATCGGATGAGGCCAAATAGGCGTCCTGCATCGGTTTTCGTCCCTTATCTTTGCGTACAGTCGAGCAAAGTACTTAGCAAGGCCGTCTCGGGCGATGGTCTCGCCGAGATATACTGTTACACTTATCTCAGGGTCTGGGCTATATCAAAATAACAGCGAAGCGTACGAACCATTACAAATGAGTTTCAATATGGGACATTCAAACAGCATCGCACAACAAACAGCTTAGACGAGAGGACGCCTGAGACTCGGGCTGTCTAGGTACTTGGTTTAACAGGCGAGTCGTTAAGTCGATAGTGGTGTAGCTCTACGGACTATGTCAGCAGTGGGAGGACTGAGGTGACATTGGTATTGTCTATGTGCTATCACGCCGATTGGATGTCGAGGCTGGTAATGCTACTTGGTGGTACCATAGCCAATGACGGACAACGGGAGAGGGGAGGGTTACCCGTATCTGTTCTCGAGGCTTCCTTGGAGCAGGCGAATCTTGGGGGAAGTGAGAGTAGGGCCGACTGCGGGAACGATCTGGACTGGCTTGGGGCGGTGACACGAATAACAAGCTTCTGGACCGGTTACCTGTGGGTTTCGAGGCTCAGACTATGTATCGGAGGCTGAGTGCCGAAGGTCGAACACTGTATTCAACGCAAGTATGCGTAGTGGGCGATTTTCAGACCGACTCGACGCCGGGGCGCTTTCGCGGCAGAAGGGGTGAGTGGTTGGAATGACAATGTCAAGCAAGCCCAGCGACGCGAGAAAGAAGCGAATACTATCAAGACATTCATACACTTTACTTGCTTAGCGTGGTCCAACTACTGATAAAATATTACGAATGATGCATATCTTGACAGTAAAATGAGGCCAGCACGGTGATAATTTTGGCTTGAATATTAAAAGATGCGCACAATGGCCAGACTCACTAATTTCTTTTTTCTTTTTTCTTCTTTTTTTTTCGTTCTCAATAGACGTGCATAGTAGATACTTAGATAATCCAATGCCAATACATGGCCTCGGCTATTTACAGTTCTCGAATTTACAGTTCTCACATGCATACACGCGCGGCTGGGTGAAAGGACGAGGGGAGGGGACGCTCACGCCATTCGCAATCCTGGCGACATCTCAAACTCAGGAGGCGATGCAAAAGCAGGGGTGAGAGACAAGACAGCACAGCACAAGATATGCTACTCCGTACAGGGTATGGACAAAGTAACGATGGGAGGCAGCTGAAGAATAAACGGATACATTTTCCAGAGAACCGCCTATGCGAGTTTGAGAGTACTGTTTGCCGAGTCAGAGTCTTTGACGTAAAACTACCAAGCACTAATAATAATTGCAACTACTACTCAAAGAGAAAAGCCAAACTAGAGATGACACTGGAAGATGTTCTATGTACTATGTAGTGGTACGATACTGTCATGTGGATTTTGTTAGCCATCAAGTTGGCGTTGACGGTGAGTGGTGTTTTTCTTCTTCTTGGTTTCTCTCCGTCTTGGTCCCTCAGAGTCAAAAGACCCCGGACGGTTGAGGCGTTAAAGGAACCGTTCAACCCGCCAAGGGGCTTGAAAGTGTGGATGCCACTAGCAGACGATCACCGACCAAGACCCGACCCTGACATGGGTGCAACGAATCGGATGAACCTTGGAAGCTTGCTTGGCTGTGATGAAAAGGAAAGGGGAGAAAAAAATGGAAGACTCGAATCGCCGGGAGGGGAAGGATGATTACATGGATCCAGGATCTAGATACTAAGTTAAGGATATCGGATTTCCGTGTGAAAGATGATCTACACTTTGCATGTGAACGGCGCATATCAATCATAGTACAATTATTCATGTGATGTCTGGCCTAACTGGATGTATGAGTGATATGATGATCTTTTTTTTTATGCAAATTCCGGTTGGCTGGGTATGGAATACATTTTCCACAACAGCGTTTCGCGATGCAATATAGTGCAGGGTAGACACAGGAACCGAATTTGAATATTCTGACATTATACTACGGCTGTAATTTATGGTTATGTTATTGGTCATTTCGTGGTTAATGTGACATTATGCCTGGCGCTTCAACAATTGTTTGTTTTTCCTTGTAGTGTTTCTTGATCGGCATATCATATCATGGATTGGTTTGGAATCATGAATGTAGTTATGCGGTGATGTTGTATTTCCTAGTCATTCGACATCTCTCATCCATATGTTCCATAACCACGAGCCTGTGGAGGTTTGGACGGCACTTGGACCATGCCTCGTAGGCATTGTGTCAGTGTCACGATTAATCTAGACATGCACTTTGGTCTGCGTTCACGTTGAACAGATGAAAGGGGCATTTCTGTTACTCGAGTTTACGTACAAGTCATTTAAGAAGTGTAATTCACCTGCTGAAATGGTGAGGTGATGTTGGTGGTTGTCGGTTTGAAATTAAATCCATCATCCCCAATAGGAAACTCGTTATCGACGAGACAATCCATTGATAATATCAAATGTTGAGTGCATGACACAGTTTGTTCCTTGGCTGCTTCAGTCGAATATTCCTTAGTTCTTTCAGGTGGAGGGAATATCACGTTCTGTCATTGCTCCCCTGAAGCCACTGCAGATGGCGTGTTTCATCCAGGTACAAGTTCGATCAATGCATCTTTAGACGGCGGGTGGCTTTTGGAGGTTTGGAGTCGTGATTGGCTGAGATGAGCCTGACCCGTCACATAGCCCTGCTTCATCGTTTAGACCCTTGCACCTTGTGCTTGTTCTTTTTTAGTAGTAACTCATGACCACGAGGGGAGAAAGAGAGCAAGGACCCTTTCTCCCAGCAAATGGGAACCAATCCTTCGACTCGACGATTTAGATCTGTGACAATGGCTTTGTCGACCTGTTAAAAGGATGACATTCGTTCTATGTGAAGCAAAAAGGTTCAGAGGTGAAGTAAAGATTGAAACATAATAAAGACAGGGGAGGTGAATATCAATAGACAAATTCTTTCGTGGTATAGCGAAAGAAAGACAGAGAGAGGCGGCAGACGGGCCGCCTGAGGTCTCACATCATGTAGCCTGGCGCATGGCAGACAAACACACAAACACGGCATTAGTAGATAGATCTACATACATACAGAAAAGTACAAGCACATGCAAGATAATCTGTTTACAGGCCAAGCGAGGTGTTACGAGATGAATAGAAGAAGAAGCAGATGGAAATTAGGATCACACATACGATTACATGAGCAAAAATCTGGACTAAACTACAGTAGACTAGACTTGACTAAATTAATTAATTTATCGTGTATCAGGTATCAATCACTGTCACCCAGCCCAATCCAACTTCTATCTACGGACACAGCACGGAAGGGAGGCCCTGCGCCACTACTTCTGCCTCTGCCTCTACCCTTGATTCAGTCAGTGCACAGTAAAAAAAAGATCAGGTTTCGAATTCTTGGCTCGGCACCTCTTTTACAGGGGAAGCCACTTTTCTTTTCTTCAACGACTCAACTTTTATGACAATGAACAGGAAACAATGAATGAATGAATGGTATGAGATACATGCCTTTGTCATTGGAAGGAATTGATGAAAAACAACCCAATGTTGAGTGACATTCAGTTTCAGAAACGCAATACCATTATCACGTACGTAGCCTACAGAATGCAATGGATTGCATTATGCAGCATTGCATTACAGGCCAGAAGGAGTCTGTTAGCCGCCCAAATGCAACTGATCCAAGTTAGGGGATGTCCCCGCGCACATGCGACATAGACGCCCACAGTCGAGACGCTTCGACCGCCAGTCGCTTGGCTCCCCTAGTCCCCGAAGCTGGTTCCTGGGCGAGCCAGACGAGTCAAGCAGGTCCAAAGCAAGGGTCAAAGGGGAATAACTGTCGATCATAAGCAAGCAAGTAGACTAGCCGGGCTGTGTAGTCGCCTGCTTTATGCATTCATGGCTCTGGTGGAGGAGATGTGGCCCTCACCTCGGTTTAACGAGAGCGACTAATTCGCTGCTTCTTTGCCGCCTCTGCCATTCAGGAGTGACCGACTACTACGTACGTAGTATACTAGGTAGTGTACTATTTTCATGGATCGTCTCGGTAATTCCATGTCTTGGCTCAGAGGCAGCCGAAACGAAACGACTGAAACATCCTGACTTGACTGGTCTAGACGTCCAGTTGGGACGGATCGTACTACATAAGAGCTCCTCCCCCGACCTCTGGGACCCTTTTCTCTTCTTCAGCAACGCTCAAGAATTCCATATTCAGACGATCCCTTTTTGACATTTTTCTCCTTTCTTCTTTTCTTCAATTCCCTTCTTTGACTTTCCCTTGACGGGCTGGAAATACATTCCCTCACAATACCAACAACTCATCAACTCTTTTTGTCTTTCCCCGTTTGTAACGGAGACCGGCATCAACTTTTTTTCATCTTTTTTTGAACAACAAGCTTTCACCGACTGAACAACGCACAAGAAACCGGCCTTTGTGTTACCAAAAAGCCTTCCGCCCGACGCCGTCAACCTGTTCGAGAAAACAAGACTGCTCAACCACCTGCCTGTCTGCACTGCACTGCACTGTCACTGTTCGCGCACCAGTCACCTTTGTTTTCTTCTTCGCCGCCTATATCATTCACCTTGTTCGCATTGACTCTTCGTCGTTCGCACCCACAGTCCTTTGCAAACGCATTTGTTCAACAAAACCACACAGTCCTTTGATCCATTGTTTCGTCACCGAACAAACACGGCAAAAGAACCTGCACGCTTTTTTTTTTGGTTCACCATTCATTATCTGTTCACTTGAACAATAACCAGCCCGAAACACCACAAACTCGCGCCAAGCTCGCAATATAAATCAACTTCGATCCTTCCCACCAAGTCGGATTCATTCCTTTAGCAATCAACATCTCTGAGAAACACTCAGCAACAACAACAACAGCAACACAATCGTGTCGAAAACAGCAAACAAAACTCGCCTTTTCTTATCGAGATACCCATCACATCAAAATGCATTTCAACTCCTTCGCCGTTTGCCTTGGTCTGGCTGGTCTGGCCCAGGCACACATGGAGATGATCTCCCCCGCCCCTTTCAAGTCCAAGGAGAACCCTCACGCCGGCAGCGATGTCGACTACAGCATGACCGCTCCTCTTGAGGCCAGCGGTGGCAACTTCCCTTGCAAGGGCTACCACTCTCTCTTCGGCACTGAGGCTGGTGCCTCTGTCGCCGATTGGGAGGCCGGTAGCCAACAGACCATGAAGATCACCGGTGGTGCTAACCACGGCGGTGGTTCTTGCCAGGCCTCTCTCTCCTTCGATAAGGGCGAGTCTTGGCAAGTTATCCACTCCTTCATCGGTAACTGCCCTGCTGCTGGTACATCTTCTTTCGATTTCAAGGTTCCCTCCGATGCTCCCTCCGGCGAGGCCATCTTCGCCTGGAGCTGGTTTAACCAGATTGGTAACCGTGAGATGTACATGAACTGTGCTGCCGTCACCATCAAGGGTGGATCTAAGCGCGCTTCTGCCATGAGCAACCGTCCCGCCATGTTCGTCGCCAACGTTGGCAATGGTTGCACCACTGAGGAGTCCTCTGACCTTGAGTTCCCCGAACCCGGTCCCGATGTGAGCAACGACTCTCAGAAGACTGCTGGCCCCATGGGATCTTGCGCCAAGGCTGGCTCCGGCTCCGGCTCCGGCGATGGTGCTGCTCCCAGTGCGCCCGCTGACAACGGAAACAATGGAGGCGACAGCGGCGCTGCTCCCAGCACCCCTGCCGGTGGTAACGATGGCTCCTACAACCCTGGCAACGATGGTGCTGGTGCCGCCCCCAGCGCCCCTGCTCCCACCAAGCCTGCTGAAGGCGCCCCTGATGCGTATGTACCCTCACCCTCTTCTGCAACTGACAGTGGTCCTAATTCGCAAACTTCTAGTCCTGGAGGTGTCTTCATCACTGTCTCTCAACCCGCTGAGGCTACCGCTGCTCCCTCGGCCCCTGCCAACGATGGCGCCGGCTCCAGCACTCTTCTGACCATGACCAAGCCTGCTCCTGCTGCTCCCACCAGCATTGTTACCCCTGAGCCCGCTCCTGCTGCTCCTACTCCCCCCGCTGCTCCCGCGACCCCTGATGCTGGTGAGGGTGGTTCTGGTACCGAGGAGACTGCAGGTTCCGCTTGCACCGAGGAGGGTCAATGGAACTGCATCAGTGGTTCCAAGTACCAGCGCTGCGCTTCCGGTACATGGTCTGTTGTTCAGTCCATGGCAGCTGGTACTACCTGCTCTGGCAACAAGAGCCAAGCCATGGCCTTTGGATTCGGCCGCAAGCTCGCTTTTCGATTTCGTCGGGCCTAAGACTTCTTAGACCGGCCACTGGGACAAATCTCAGGATGTCATGAGCATATGAACGAATAGAGCATGGCAGGCTGCAACAGCACATATTGTTTGTCTTTCTTTCTTGAAGGGGTGGGTGGATTTCGGAGTTTGGGTCATTTTGTACACAGAATTAGGAATCAGACTATGAATTCTTCAAAACACTTGTTTCGACTTTGATGGTGAATGTGATTATGATGTGTAAGAGATACTATGTAGTATCTGCGATGTTGGCTATGATGGTAAGAAATAGTACCATTTGTGATGTGGGAATTATGATTGTTAGAACAAAGACGGACACCACATCCATCATACTACCGTGTAGCTATCTTTGTTGGAACGTTGAACATGTGTTTGTTACCCCATAGATAGTGGATAAGAATGATCAATCATTAATTATACTGGCTGCACTCTTGCACCATACTAGAGAGCATAGTCTAGTATAGTAGCAGAGGCACGTGCCGTTCGTTTGGAGTCAAGTATCTGCTAGGTATGGCCCTTGTCAGATAGACGGAGGCCGCCTGCGACGCGTCAATGTTCTGGCCATAATCGTGGAGGTTGGAGGCCGGCTACCGGATATGCAGATGGTGCGTTGTGCGATGTTGGTGTTGTTGTGAGAGGGGCTGTGGTGTTCCATCTGGCAAGACAGAACAAGACACAGTGTACGTTCCGACATCCCGAGGAAGCTTTGATTGGACAGATGAGCTTATAGACTCCTAAAACCACTATGAGTGGCGATTCTGACAGTATGTGCACGGTACGCACGAAGTAAAGGCGCTTGCGTCTACTGGAACCCCATCCGACCTGGCAAAGTTGGGTTTCCTAGCGGGGCAGTGTTGTGTTGTCTTGGTGAGATGAAGCCATACTTAGAAATTCCAGTGTACATTGATTGGTGAAGTGATAAAGACAGAATAATCAAAGCAAAACATAGTCGCATATTTGAGTACAACTCTGGGTATATTTGCCTTTGTACCAGAGTATCCATTGGATCATATACGTACCCGCTTGTCTTGTTTGCTTGTTTGGTTTTCTTCATAGGTTTGTAACTCACTCAAGAGGCCTGATTTGACCGCCCACTATCAAACATAACCCAACCCAAAGTGGGCTTTGGCTTTGCTGATACTTTCCCCCGTCTCCCATCAACCCTCTTCAGGCGGCGAAAGCGAAAGCGCAACTTTGGGGCCCCTCCTCTTCCCAGGCTTAGCCCAGTCCTTCCCGGTCCCAGTTCAGCCCAGTTCAGTCGAGCAGACCAACCTAGACTAAGCCAAGCCTTTCCATATTAACCTCCACCACCCAGAGGCGACACTCGTCCAGGCCTCACTTCGTTTTTGTCTTGTTTTCTATTTCACACTCTTCATGACTGTAGCGCTTTTCGCTCAGTGACGGACTTTCCGTCTACGACAATTCCTTCATCCTCACCACGCGACAATATTATCCCCTTCATCTATCTCTGACCCCGCCTCTAGCGACATCTCCCCGCCTCGACCGCCATATACAACACTTCTACCTCGACCTCGACCTTGACCATGACTGGCCCTGCCTCTCCCCAGGCCGATGGTCCCACGTTTGCTCCTCCTCCGTTGCCCGCGGGTTGGATTGCTCAGTGGGATGGCACGAGCAAGAAATACTACTATGTCCAGCTGTCGACTGGTGTTTCGCAGTGGGATGTCCCTACCGAGCCTGCTAAGACGGGCAACACTCCCGCTCCTCCTGGTGAACACCCTTACGGGACTCCCAAGCCGCCTGAACTTATCACGCACCCTGATGGATCGCAGACTGTGCGCCATGCCGACGGTACCATGGAACCAATCATGCCCGATGGGTCTCGCGGTGTAGATGGGCCCTCTGGAGATCGAGGACTCGGAGTAAGTTACTGCTACTGGCTCTGTCCTGTTGCGATTCACTAACATGTGTGGACAGAGCATGGCTATGAACGCTTTGCTCGGCGGAAAGAACTCTGGTCACGGTGGTAGCGGTGGCGGAGGCAGCAGCTCCAGCCCATTGGGCAGCCTTGGTGGCCTTGCAAACCAATTCCTCGGCGGTAGCCATGGTGGTAGTGGCAGCGGAGGGAACAAGCCCTCGGGTGCAGGCAAACTTGTTGGGCAACTGGCTCAGAGCTTCATGCACTCGGCTTCCCAGGAGAAGCCCCCCGCGCCTCAGAACTACCACAGCAGTTCCAGCCAGAACTCTCAACAGCAGCAGCAGCAGCATGGAGGAGGAGGAGGAGGAGGAGGAGGAGGAGGAGGTATCGCTGGTCAAATTATGGGTGGCGTAGCAACCATGTTTGGAGGGAAGCACGGTAGCAACGTAGGTTCATGTCGACAGAGATGGGTGCCGCGAGCAAGACTAATGGCGCGATAGGGACAAAACTCGAACTTTGGTTACAACTCTGGACAGCAACAGCAGCAGCAGGGCGGAGGAACATACTCTGGCCAAGCTCCCACTTACAACCCACCAGGCTCAGGCTCAGGCCCAGCTCCATCGGCACCTCCTGCTACTGGAGCGCATTCTTATAGTACGCCTTCGCCGAGCCAGCACCAGCAGCATGGCTCTCACCAGTCTTACAATGCGCACCAGCAACAACCTGGTGCTGCCCAGCAGTATGGTAGTCAGCAGCATTCTAGCCCAACCCAGCAATACGGCTCGCATCAGCAACAGCACGGTTCCAGTTCCCCCTATGGAAGCCATCAACAGCAGCCGGGTTCGCACCAGCAATATGGTGGAAACTCTTTCGGAGGGAGCCCACACCTATCGCACAACAACTCGTTCCCTCCTCCGCCTCCAGGAGGTCCGCCCCAGCAAGGACAACAGGGACAACAAGGACAGCATGGACAACAGTATTTCCCTCCTCCTCCTGGACATCAATCGCAGCATCAGCCGTCTGGTCAGGGTTATCCTGACACTAAACCCCACGGTAGCCAATTCGGCGGGGCACCAGAGCAGCATGGCCAGCATTCACAGGGCTACAGCGCACCCCCAACTGGTGGTTCTCAGCAGTATCCTCCTCCCCCACCTGGAGGACCCCCCGGGGGATACAATCCTTCCTACAATGGGGGACATGGAAACCAGCAGCCATCTTACGGTAATCAGTCGCAACACGGCAGTGGCGCTCCTCCTGTTCCTCACGGAAGCCATCCCCAACAACAATATGGGGGACCTTACTGAGGGACTGACACGAAGCTGTACGGAAAAACCAAGAACTCATATTTTTTAGCCCTGTAGTGAAGAGAATCTGGTCATTTTTGATTCGAGATCGCGAGAGCTCATCAAGCCGGCCTTTTAGAGCCGTTTCTTTCACTACACATATGCATCTAACGACTGCATGTTCGATATGGCAGTGTTTATCAACAAGGATACATCGAATTGAGTATAGACATCAAGGCCTACAGAGGGCCGAGAATGACGTGATGGGCAGAAGAGTTATGAGGAATATGATTAACGTAGATAGTAGAATGCATTTTACCAGCCCCCTTTTCTGTAGACGGCATCACAACTACTGAACCCTAGGACATCAATGCCCTTCTCATCATTTATTTTTCTTGTCTGCGCTATCTGCCGTCACGGCAATCGTTTGTAACCTCGAGGCAACGGATGTGGCCACAAACCATGACACTACAGCGAGGACAACAATGTAGCCAGCGGTTGGGATCAATGAGCGAGGGACGACGTTGAATAGATAGGGGTCGAGGATAAGATCCACGAGCACAGCTGGGGGATCCTTCATGAGAGCTTCATCATCAGTGAAGTAGTCCGCAGAGGCTTTGATTTGTAGTAAAAGAAGTGAGGCTTTGCGCTCCTTCTCTCCAGGCTGAGGCAACTCTTCATGTAGTTCACCCCCTTCGTCTTGACGTGAGAAGGCATAGCCTGCCAGTGACTGAATAAGCTCTGGGGTCTCCCATACGGTATCTAGCCCGAAAACATCCAGAATGAAGCTCGTAGGTTGCTAAAATCTCCATTTAGTATATTTGTACGGTGAATTGGTTCTATATGGACTTACAATCGCAGCCCAGCAGACTCGAAACTCATACCGCTGCTCGGGGTTTAGGTTATCCAAAAGCACCCATGTCGCAGCACCAGAGGCATAATCTTTTGCTTTAGAGTGAAACACGCGGCTCAAGTTTGTCCTGATCTCAGAGGCCTCTGGTGTGAGGACTGGCAGTCTGAGGTCGGCCAGCAAAGGTTTCTGTTGAGGAATGGGTAATAGTGCGGGTGCTGTAAAGATGGCCTTTTCAACATTGGCGAGAACCGAAGTAAGCACTGCTGCTAGGACAAGCAAGTATACGATCCGATTATTTGGTAAGAAAAACATAGCGGCGATTTGCCAGGCAAAATCAATCGTCCCTTGTTACCCTCGTGGTCTGTATGTATTTGAGATGAGAGAGGCATGTTGTTATAAACGTCACGTGTACTGACTGTATCTCCTGAATGCCCCGCTACCAACAATAATAGTACGCATTCGTTTCGACGACCTTACTCTTGACGTGGACATGCTATGTGTATAAGAAAAAAATGACTAGAAGGATTGCTATATATCCGTAGTCGTCCAGTGGCTTCAAGAGGAAATGGAGCTTTATTGTTGGACTCTTGATACTTCAATGTAGGTTAGCTAAAATTGTGCCGATTGTAACGACAAGTGACCCCTAGAGCACAAGTCAATTCGAGCAGGGATCTTGGTAAACAATGTTTCTTGATTGCCCAGTGCAGGTCCACTCATCTAAAGGCGAATTCAACTGCTCTTCATGATCATGGATTCTGTTTATTGCAAAGACATTCCTTAAGACATCAAAAAGCTTACCTGTTAACTCAAAAGATGGAATCATTGATTCACTTTATTCAATCTTGGATTCCTTCCTGTTCTACTTCTGGAAGCCTCAAGTTTAAAGTTAATTTTCTGATACCGCATAGTAGACAAGCAAGACCTCAAAAAAAAAAAAAAAACACGTCGGCAGCGAGCTAGACTTAGTTGTCATTGACTCTCCACGGAGTATATGAACCTTAGATCATGGGAACGCTTTTGTGATATCACCTTGAGTGAAACCATTATGAGCATACCCTGGCACTATCGGTATTTGCCTAACAATACGGAGTACGAGGTCAAACCTTTCAGGGTTTAGGGGTTGAGGGATTGAGCTGAGAGTTCGAGGACCTGGCTGTCAATCGATAGTTTGTGATCGTGCGTACGATGAGCCGGTGAAGCTTGGGCCTCTTGAGGCTATTTGTAATCCAACATGTAACTTGCCACAATGAAGATCGTTGACTGAGCTCAAGGCGATGTCGAGACACACTGGGAGGTTCGCAGGACCCTTCATGTATCACTGGCTACTGGGTACCAGAAAAAATTAACCTCCTAAGTCTTGGGGTATAAAAATAAGTAGTCTAAGAACTATAGCCTAGGGGGCATAAAGTGACCTATTAATTTCGTCTCTTATGTTTCCAGCGGTCAATTCCTCTGATACCCTGAGGTCTGGATGTCTTGAACAAACCAGGAGGCGAATAGTGATGGGGAATGGAAGCTATGGATCTGGGTACGTACTTATAACGGCAGGGATATAAACAACCGACTGGAACCTAGAGCAGGGGTCAGTTGTTAAAAGGTAGCTTTTCATATTCCCGAAGTGAGAAAGAGAACATAAGTGTATGGAGTAGTTGCTTGTCTGTAGACAAAGAACAATCACTAATGAATTGTGATATTTCTTCCTCATGATGTTCCTAATAAACTTTATTCTTGATTGACAGGCGGCTCAGACACCTGACTTCCAATGGAGCTTGCAGCTCATAACAGAGGCGAAATGAAAGTCTGAGGAGAGATGAGACGTCGTCAAATATGGACCCATGGATCGTCGTCTAATGAGAGACACCAATATCTCGGTGCTCGACGGGAGGACGGACAGACGCCTGCCTACCCGGTTCGTTGGATTCGAGTATCAGGCAGCTGGTAGGGAGTACAAAGTATTGACTCCATAACGTTGTACTGGACAGAATAACTTGCCTTAGAATTGTTAAGCCGTCATCAATTTTTCGCTCGAGCGGTGAAGCGCAAGAACAACGGACAAGATGGAAACAACGGAGCGGTAGGTAATGTTCAGTCCAATGGAAGGCGCTTCGGGACCAGTAAAGCTCCAGAGGGTCCCCGTAGGTCCCTTTGGTAACCCCTGGGGCCCCTGGCAGCCGGCCAACAGGCGTCGGCAGCGAAAAGCGCCAGCAGGGCGTTGCAGAACGCGCTTGCCCCTTTCCAGCCCAGGCACGCCTCGAAATCAACAAATCCACAGCCAGTCCAATCCAATCCCTGCCCAGCAAAGTGTCCCCTGTCTGCCAAATTTCCCCCACCACCGCTAACTTATCACCAAACTAAACATTCGCCCTCTCGTCCCACTCCGCTTTACTTTACTTTGCTTTCTCTTCCTCCTCCTCAGCCAAGTCATTGTTGTAAAAGCCTTGCCTGGCCTGTTCTTTTTTGTCGTCCTTTTCTCTGTGGTCCCTCTTCTTTGCTCTTGCATACTTCCTCCATCTCCATACTTGTAAATCAACAACATCTGCAAACATGCGTGAGGTCATTAGCATCAACGGTAAGCTGTCGCTCCCTTTCTCTACTCTGGCCTTTCACCGCATCTCCTTTTTCACCACGAACCACTGTCGTGCTAACTGAGCTCTTATAGTCGGACAGGCTGGTTGCCAAATCGCCAACTCTTGTTGGGAAGTGAGTTTCTTGTATTTTGTTTTGTTTATTTCTCTGTTTACTAACCATATACTTAGCTTTACTGCCTCGAGCACGGTATCCAGGTACACAACTACCCCTCGATTTGTCAACAAACAAATATCACGTCGTTCACACATGCTAACTACCTCTAGCCTGATGGTTACCTCACCGAGGAGCGCAAGGCGCAGGACCCCGATCAGGGATTTAGCACATTCTTCTCAGAGACTGGTAGGGATATAGCTCTCGTTTTTAAACCGCCCTTTCCTTCTAACACCTTCCTCTAGGCAACGGAAAGCATGTCCCCCGAGCCATCTACTGCGATTTGGAGCCCAATGTCGTCGATGAGGTTCGCACCGGTCCTTACCGTAACCTCTTCCACCCCGAGATGATGATCACTGGCAAGGAGGACGCTTCCAACAACTATGCTCGTGGTCACTACACTGTCGGCAAGGAGCTCATCGATGGTGTCCTCGACAAGATTCGCCGGGTTGCCGACAACTGTGCTGGTCTCCAGGGTTTCCTCGTTTTCCACTCTTTCGGTGGTGGTACTGGATCTGGTTTCGGTGCTCTCCTTATGGAGCGCCTGTCCGTCGACTACGGCAAGAAGAGCAAGCTGGAGTTCTGTGTTTACCCTGCTCCTCAGACCGCCACCTCAGTCGTCGAGCCCTACAACTCTATCCTCACCACACACACCACTCTTGAGCACTCCGACTGCTCCTTCATGGTCGACAACGAGGCCATCTACGACATCTGCCGCCGAAACCTCGGTCTCGAGCGCCCCAACTACGAGAACCTGAACCGTCTTATTGCTCAGGGTAGGTTTTATCAATACTGATATCTAAGACAGCTGGCTAACAACATATAGTCGTCTCTTCCATTACTGCTTCCCTCCGATTCGACGGTTCCCTCAACGTCGACTTGAACGAGTTCCAGACCAACCTGGTCCCTTACCCCAGAATCCACTTCCCTCTCGTCGCTTACTCTCCTGTTATCTCGGCTGCCAAGGCCGCTCACGAGGCCAACTCTGTCCAGGAGATGACCATGTCTTGCTTCGAGCCTAACAACCAGATGGTCAAGTGTGACCCCCGCCATGGCAAGTACATGGCCACTTGTCTGCTGTACCGCGGTGACGTCGTCCCCAACGACGCCCACGCCGCCGTTGCTACCCTTAAGACCAAGCGAACCATCCAGTTCGTTGACTGGTGCCCTACTGGTTTCAAGCTTGGTATCTGCTACCAGGCTCCCGAGAACGTGCCCAACGGCGACCTCGCCAAGGTCAGCCGCGCTGTGTAAGTCAAACCTGTACCTTCTGAATGACGACATAAGTCCTAACGCATTATAGCTGCATGCTCTCTAACACCACCGCCATCGCCGAGGCCTGGTCTTCCCTCTCCCTCAAGTTCGATCTTATGCACAGCAAGCGTGCCTTCGTCCACTGGTACGTTGGTGAGGGTATGGAGGAAGGTGAGTTCTCTGAGGCTCGTGAGGATCTCGCTGCCCTGGAGCGTGATTACGAGGAGGTTGCTACCGACTCCATGGGCGATGAGGAGTTGGAGGCTGAGTACTAAGCGGTGACGGATGCAATGACTGGATTACTATCTTTGAACCAGTTTTAGCCTGCTACCGACAGAGAGGTGTATTTTCTTATTTTCGCAAAGGTTAAGCCAAAACGAGTTTTAATGCCAAAAGACCAAGATCTGTACAAGGGTTCCGGTGTTTTTTATAACAAAATTGTCCGAGTCGGAGGCATTGCGTGAGGCAGCCCTGTACTGTAGTTGCTAGTATTGTAGTTGTAATAACGCAAAGATACCTCTCACAACTCAATCCCATTGTCTTTAAGTACTAACGATTGGATGTAAATTAAACTCACGGAACGCGGGGAACAGCACGGGTTTCGAACCGTTTCTGTAATTGTATTGGTAGTAGTCCGTTAGATGCCCGTACTGTGAACCGCATGTACCGAGCCCCGAAGCTCGGCCCACGTTGGGGTTGGGGCCGACAGTACGCGAATCGGCATCCATTACTTAGACCTCCAGCAAACACGGCATTTTATCCTCTTGAACCGTGTATCGATCGAATTTCACGAACATTACATCAAAAACAACAAGACATAAAACCATGAGTCTTTTGCGATCCAGCGTGTGCAGAGCATGCCGACGCTCACAGCAAATCCGTTGGCACAGAGGCTTTGCGACAGCCAGCAGCGGCATCTCGCATGATAACCGTGTTAAGCTGGTGGAGGTCGGTCCTCGAGATGGACTGCAGAACGAGAAGATGTCAATTCCTCTGGAAACAAAGATTGAGCTTATCGAGCGGTTAGCTCGAACAGGCGTTTCTACTATCGAGGCTGGTTCTTTTGTGGCTCCGAAATGGGTTCCTCAGGTAAGTTTAGCTATTGCAGCATTGATGTCACGATGTGCTGACAGCTGTCGCACTGCAGATGAGCAATTCAAGCGAAATCCTTCAGCATATTCTCGACGGAAAGATCTCGTCTCCCGGCCCGATCTCATACTCATTTCTTGCCCCCAACAATAAGGGATTCAAGTCTGCCGCGGACATTCTCGATGCCAACAGCGGCAAGTTTGCAACGCAACTGGAGCCAGCAACTACAGAGGCAGAGGCGACAAAGCCAAACATTGAAGTCGCAGTGTTTGCTGCTGCTACCGAGAGCTTCACACAGAAGAATCTCAATTGTGATATCAAGACTTCGCTAGAGCGTTTCAAGGAGGTGATTCGAGATTCCAAGGGTCTGGGCCTCCGTGTTCGAGCCTACATCTCTGTAGTTCTGGGATGTCCTTTTGAGGGATTTGATGTCGACCCCCATCAGGTAGCGGAGATCGCTACAGATCTTCTGGAGGCGGGAGCCGATGAGATTTCTCTCGGTGACACTACAGGTATGGGTACAGCCCCTCGAACGGCAACTCTCCTTCAGTGTATGTCGGCGGCAGGCATCCGAACTGAAGACATTGCCATGCACTTCCACGACACCTACGGCCAAGCTTTAGTGAACACTGCCGTTTCTCTAGAACACGGCATCCGAACGTTTGATAGCAGTGTTGGTGGTCTGGGTGGTTGCCCTTACAGCCCTGGTGCGACTGGCAATGTCTCAACCGAGAACATGGTTTATTTCATGGAGACTCTGGGTATGAATACAGGTATCAGCCTAGATGCCATGTCTGATATTGGAGCATGGATCACAAGGGAGCTGGGCAAGGAGAATGGAAGCACAGTTGGCAAGGCGGTTCTGGGAGCTCGAACCCGAGCTATAGAAAACGCAGCTAGGGAAGCTATCAAGGCTAAAACCCAGGGCAATTAGCAAGCTTGATAACTGCATACTTGGAACCTCGCTTTCTTTTGAAAATACTTGACGATAATTCAAGCTTGTAAATTCAGTCAGCATATCTAAGAAACCTATATTGTCGTTTAACAACCCAATAATCAGTCCAAGGTTATATTCGTATGTCATGTCATGTGATGTCACTGTTGCTTGTTGTGGAGGTGAGTTTATCGGCCGTGCGTCGCCTTTGGGCTGGCGCAGCTAGACTAAGGTAGAGAGACCCCACTCTGGTGAAGCAAGCTCAACCTCCTCCAACCTCTTGGGCCATTTCCCAACTCCATCCAAGCTTCGCGATCGGTTCCTGTATCGTGTCCTCCTTCGCCCATTTCGCCTCAACCTTTCCCGCCTATTTACCGATATTTTCCCCATCATGGCGGATCCTCGCGAGTCGTCCTCGTACTCGGTCACCCCCAGAATTCGATACAACACTGTCGGCGGAGTCAACGGTCCCCTCGTCATCCTCGACAACGTACGTCGTCCTTTCCCCAAACTCGAGTCGGCTCGGCCAGTTTGAGCTGATAACAATAGGTCAAATTCCCGCGATACAATGAGATTGTGACGCTCACCCTTCCCGATGGAACTGAGCGCTCAGGTCAAGTCCTGGAAGCTCGAGGTTAGTACAGCTACTGGCCTAGTGCAAGTAATGACGCGGAATATGCTGACATAGAAACGCAGGTGACCGAGCTGTCGTTCAGGTATTTTCAATGAATACGATGCGGAGTGATATGGAGGTTGACGAATTATCTAGGTCTTCGAGGGTACTTCCGGTATTGATGTTAAGAAGGTAGGCGGTATCGCGATTTATATTGGCGGATATTGAGCTAAGACAACTATAGACCAAAGTCAAGTTCACCGGTGAGAGCTTGAAGATTGGTGTGTCTGAGGACATGCTTGGTCGTATTTTCGATGGATCTGGTCGAGCTATTGATAAGGGTCCCAAGGTGTTGGCCGAGGACTACCTCGATATTAACGGTTCTCCCATCAACCCCTACTCTCGAGTAAGGCTTCCGCCAAACGCTTCCATGGAACAATCTAACAAAGGAATCAGGAATATCCCGAGGAGATGATCTCAACCGGTATTTCTGCCATTGACACTATGAACTCGATCGCCCGAGGACAGAAGATTCCTATTTTCTCTGCCTCCGGTCTGCCTCACAATGAAATCGCCGCCCAGATTTGTCGACAGGCTGGTCTCGTCCAGAAGCAGGGCATCACCAACAAGGGTGTTCATGATGGCCACGAGGAGAACTTCTCCATCGTTTTCGGTGCCATGGGTGTTAACTTGGAAACCGCTCGCTTCTTCACTCGCGATTTCGAGGAGAACGGCAGTCTGGAGCGCACTACTCTCTTCCTTAACCTTGCCAACGATCCTACGTAAGTAATAGGCTAATTTATTGTCTGCTTCAACAACTAATATCCTCTTTAGTATCGAGCGTATTATTACTCCTCGTCTCGCTCTTACCACTGCCGAATACTACGCTTATCAGCTCGAGAAGCACGTTCTGGTCATTCTTACTGATCTTTCCGCTTACTGTGATGCCCTTCGAGAAGTTTCAGCCGCTCGAGAAGAAGTACCTGGTCGACGTGGTTACCCCGGTTACATGTACACTGATTTGTCCACCATCTATGAACGAGCCGGTCGTGTTTCGGGTCGAAACGGTTCCATCACTCAGATTCCTATTCTGACCATGCCCAACGACGATATTACCCACCCTATTCCCGATTTGACAGGTTACATTACCGAAGGGCAGGTCTTCATTGACCGAGCTCTCGACAACCGTGGTATCTACCCACCCATCAACGTGCTGCCTTCGCTGTCTCGTCTGATGAAGTCTGCCATTGGTGAGGGCATGACCCGAAAGGACCACGGTGATGTTTCCAACCAGCTGTACGCCAAGTACGCTATTGGTCGTGACGCCGCGGCCATGAAGGCTGTCGTCGGTGAGGAGGCTTTGTCCGCTGAAGACAAGCTGTCTCTCGAGTTCCTGGAGAAGTTCGAGCGCCAGTTCATTAGCCAGGGCCAGTACGAGTCTCGATCCATTTACGAGTCCCTCGACCTTGCATGGAGCCTGCTCCGTATCTACCCCAAGGAGCTTCTCAACCGTATCCCCGCCAAGGTCCTCAACGAGTTCTACCAGCGAGCCGCCAAGGAGTCCAAGGCCAAGGGCAAGGCCCGAGCAGACACCGAGGCACGCGGTCAGCAGCAGACAGAAGAGAACCTGATTGACGCATGAGGGGATGACTTGTCAGCATTTTGATAGATAGTATAATGAGCGCGCGCAAGATGGAAGAGCAGACAGAGCAACTTGTTTTTAAGTGGATTGTTTTCATGCTGTCTTTGAAAGGAAGCTGTAGATCAGAGAAAGAGTAGGCATGTGGGTAAAGATAGGGAGGCGAGCTAATGCAATTCAACCAACCCTCTACCTGACGTGGTTTACCTATCATGACGAGTAGTGGAAACGAATGAGTGAGTTATCATGATGAGTGGCAGCATTTGGCTGTCATGGCTTCTCTAGACAGTGAAGGACCAATGATAAAGTCAATCATGTTTAAAAGTGGAGCTACAGTGTTGAAAATTCAAGCTACGCACATTGCCACCCAACTTTTTCAAGGTTAGTAATTAATTACTGGACAAACGTGATACGAGAATAAACAGTCGAGATAGAACCTGGGTTTTTTCAATAAGATCAGTTTCCGTCGACCCAAAATGGAGGAAGACAGACGACAGACCGATCTCGGCACAGCAGCCGATATCGAAGAGGCCCAGCTCGCTCAGGCTAGCCCATCCCCCGCCATTGAAAATGAGACAGAGTCAGCAACACCACAGAACGGGGCCACGCCGCTGAAGCAGCCCAAGAAGAGATTTGTAGGAAAAAGAATCGCTAATGAGGTTGCTGCAAAGAATGGATCGTCGGGGGCTGCTGGTGCAAGCGGCACTGTCGCAAGTACGTGAAAATGGTGAAATCTGAAGCCAGAAAGTGAAGATATGCTTATGCTGTACAGCTGCCAAACCCCGAAGAGCGCCCAGACTATTGAATCAAGTTCCTAAGGAAATTCTCGAGAATCCTGATCTGAAGGCTGCTATTGCTTTGCTACCGGCCAACTACAACTTTGAGATTCCAAAGACGATTCATCGTATCCAGACCTCAGACTCCAAGAGAGTTGCGCTCCAGATGCCCGAAGGCCTCCTTCTTTTTGCTACTACCATCTCCGACATTCTGACCCAATTCTGCCCGGGTATCGAGACTCTCATCATGGGAGATGTGACCTACGGTGCATGCTGTATCGATGATTACACTGCGAGGGCCCTTGATTGCGACTTGCTGGTGCACTATGCTCACAGCTGTCTCATCCCTGTCGACGTGACCACTATCAAGACACTCTACGTCTTTGTCGATATCAGCATCGATGCGACACATCTTCTAGCATCTTTGGAACGAAACTTTGCCAGTGGCAAGACCATTGCCGTTGTCGGAACCATCCAGTTCAATGCCACTATTCACGGTGTCAAGAGCAGTCTCGAGCGAGGCGGTTTCCGTGTGCTTGTTCCGCAGATTGCCCCTCTGAGCAAGGGTGAGATTCTGGGATGTACATCCCCTCGTCTTACCGAAGATGACAAGATCGATCTGATCCTATACCTTGGTGATGGCCGTTTCCACCTTGAGAGTATTATGATTCACAACCCTACTATCCCAGCATACCGATACGATCCCTATTCTCGCAAGCTGACTCGTGAGACCTACGGCCACGAGGAGATGCAGTCTCTTCGACGAACTGCCATTCAGAGCGCTAGAACAGCGCGCAAATGGGGCTTGATTCTTGGTGCCCTGGGTCGTCAGGGTAACCCACACACGTTGGGTCTCATCGAGAAGGAACTCAAGGCTCGGGGCATCCCCATAGTGCACCTTTTGCTGAGTGAGATCTTCCCAGGCAAGCTCGCACTCATGTCGGATGTCGAGTGCTGGGTGCAGGTGGCTTGTCCGCGGTTGAGCATTGATTGGGGATACGCTTTCCCGAGGCCGTTACTGACACCTTACGAGGCGTTGGTAGCTCTGGGAGAGAAACAGGATTGGGGAGATGGTGTGTATCCCATGGATTATTATGGAAAGGACGGGTTGGGTAGGACGAGGCCTTTGCAGATTGCCTCATAGATATCACCAATACAAGAAACGAGACACGATTTTCCAATTTGAATCTTGGGAGGGTTTATTATCATACATTGTATGTTATGGCCGGTTGCAAAAGCCCTATGATAGCTCTCTTGGGGTACATCATGTTGATGAATCTTGCTCATTCCTGAAGATGACCAATTTAGTTGGTGTCATAGTAAGTGGTGCTCTTTTGTTATTGTAAGAACATGAGGCCATGGCACGTTGTTCTTTCCGGAGCGGAGCTATATCTTCGGACCAACGAATGTTAACGATATGTGTTTTTGTAGAGTTAAGTGCCACAACAGATACCCAGGGACGATTCCCTCCAATCGCGTTTCCTGGGTTTATAACGGTACATTGACCCAACGATCGCTTGTGTTGCGAGAGCCTGGGAGTATTTCAGACCCAAACGGAGTGGATAGACGAATTGAGTAACTTCAGAGAACGCTGCTAATGCTCATGGTGCATTGGCGGTTCCAACAGGTTCAGGTCGATTGGAGAACAAAAGCTTGTACTTGACAATCTCCACCACCTCAAAGTTCTCGCCCTGCTCTTCTGACTCTCCCCCGGAGCCGATGATTTTCTTGTTTTCTCTTTTTCGTATCACAGCCATTGCTTTAGGCAGCTTCTTGACTTCACCAGTCAGACGTTGATGTTGGCCAACGTAAAGATGGACCTGCTTCATCCATGCTGAACCCTCCGCGCCAGGGACGTAGTCCGGGAAGTCGAGTCTTCCGACATCGACACCACCTAGAGCTTCACCACCGGAGTTTTGAGGTAAGTTGAGAGTTCCTTGTAGTTCCAGAAGAGCTAGGCCTGAAGGTGTCTGTAAGAGTTGCGGTAATGGACTAGATACCGTAGAATCTTTGCTGGGAGGATATAGCTTGGCTGATGACATTATGGCTGGTGTAGTAATATGGGTTATGTGCAGGTGATATTTATCTGGAGATATTAATGGAACAACCCGAGTGTCTTATGAGATGAATGAACACTCATGACAGTCTTCTCAGATATCATGGAGCTAGGTAAGTCTCCACTGACCCAGAAGTCGTGCAGGTACGTACCGAAGCCAGCACCACGTACAAACTCATCACATATCCAGCTTTGGCACAGTGTGGAGTTCAATGATTGAGGTCTCTGTAACCCCAAGCGGGGCAGGAAAACGGAGAAAGGCAATTCTTTTACCCGAGAGTTTCAGCAAGCCTTTTAATTGGTCACCGAATTTCATTCTCTCCTCCAGCCGTGGGGAGCCCTAGCGAGACGCACTTTCCCATTTTCTCGAATTCGCTGTGAAATTTACAACCTCATCATCCTCCACTAACTTCGCAGCAGCCAGGTCAAGAACACTTGCACCATCACAACTGGCAATATGAAGGTACGACGACACTGAATACGATCAAACGATACGAGTCTACGAGGAGAGTCAGCCTGCTATTTGGAACGGAATTGTTTCGTCGCCGTCTGGCCTCCTCGTGCTCCTATCCTGCTTGATCAAATTTCATATCACGAAAGTAAACATTCGGCTGACAATCTTTTTCAACAGTTGAACATCAGCTACCCTGCCAATGGCAGCCAGAAGCTCATCGACATTGAGGATGAGCGCAAGGTCCGTGTCTTCATGGACAAGCGCGTACGTCGAACCCTCCCTCCACGACCTTCCCGTCGAGAAATACTCCGATCGACTTCGACCAACGATGCTAACTATTTGTCTGATAGATGGGCGCTGAGGTTCCCGGTGACTCTATCGGCGATGAGTTCAAGGGCTACATCTTCCGCATCACTGGTGGAAACGACAAGCAGGGTTTCCCAATGAAGCAGGGTGTCATGCACCCTACTCGTGTCCGCCTCCTTCTTTCCGAGGGTCACTCTTGCTACCGCCCTCGCCGCACTGGTGAGCGCAAGAGAAAGTCCGTCCGTGGTTGCATCGTCGCCATGGATCTTTCCGTCCTTGCTCTCAGCATTGTTAAGCAGGGTGATGCCGATATCCCCGGTCTGACCGATGTCGTCCACCCCAAGCGCCTTGGTCCCAAGCGTGCCACCAAGATCCGCAAGTTCTTCGGCCTCACCAAGGATGACGATGTATGTCTCTCCCTACGCCCATACTCGCTCATCGCCTACCCGGAGCTGCAGTGTAAAAGCTGGCAGTCTGGGTAGAGTGTGAGAGGACCTCTTGTCCTACCTTCTGCCAAGAAGGCACAGGACAAGTGGCAGCGAGCTTTAAATACTATTCCCCAAACGTAGAAGACTAATTCTCATGAAAATAGGTCCGCAAGTACGTTATCCGACGAGAGGTTCAGCCCAAGGGTGAGGGTAAGTCCCCTTACACCAAGGCTCCTCGCATCCAGCGACTCGTCACCCCCCAGCGTCTCCAGCACAAGCGCCACCGTGCCGCTCTCAAGCGACGACAGGCCGAGAAGGTCAAGGACGAGGCCGTAAGTTACCCATCAATCAAACTTTCACCATAATCCGCTAACAGAAACCTTTTCAGAACGAGTATGCCCAGATCCTCGCCAAGCGTGTTGCCGAGGCCAAGGCCAACAAGGCCGATGCCCGCAAGCGACGTGCCAGCTCTATGCGCAAGTAAGGTTCCGGCGTTTAATGAAAAAAAGGGGAATCATACCTTGGTCTTGTGGTTTGCATGCAATAGGAGTGAGGATTCTCTATAGGGCTCAATTTGAGCCAATCACGACTGTATTAGAGGCATTTCGGGAAAAATAAGAACATGCATTGATGCACTCGTGCCATACGCCAGACACGCGCATGTTCCTTTGTCTTGATACCATTCAATTTCTCGCCCATCACCCTGATTGTTTTTCTCGCCTGGTTGTGAATCCCGTTTCCGTTGATAAACTCGAAATAATTTTTGTTGGTAAATAAGCAGTATGCAATGGCAAAGGTCATACTTTGAATCATTCTTATGACTCGCAAGAGTCCAGTAAATGAAATCACTATTCATTATCTCTATAATTGTGAAAGACCTGGGCGTGATGATATAACATACAATCCTGCCCAACCCCACTTCTGTAAGCTATCCGTCTTGTAAAAGCAAGCAGCCAAGGGAGACCTGCACTTCTCCCAGACCCTTTTCCTTATCAAACGAGGCTACAACAAATGGCTCAGGATCAGAAGCATCCTGGGGCATTCCGCCACCAATGCTAACAAGAAAACAGTCCCCAAAACATGATCAATCACCGTTATCTCTTTTCATTCCTGTCCCCCGTCTAGTTCCATCCTCTAACACGCCTGCAATGCATACGTTGACGAAATTACGCGAAGCCGAAGTATTCGCTTCCTGCTGTGATGGCCTTCATAACTTGAGAGCGCAGGTGATCGTAGCTCTCATATTCAGGAAGGTCAAGTTCTAATTCATGTTAGTGATCCGATCTTTATAGTATTCCAATGATGCATGCACTCACGATTGAAACAGGTGTGCGAAGAGGGTAGTCGGTTTTTGTTGCCATAGTCGCGATGGATGTTGAATCGGTTAACACCGTTCATACCCTCAAGCTCCTTGAAGCCGTTGAGGGGAACCTTGCTGGTTCCAGTGACGAATTGCAGCATTTTCGCACGTTCTTCCTTGTCGAAGGATCTTAGAGCTCGCCAGAACCACTGGATTTGCTGTGATGATGGAGTATAGTTGTGATACTCAGTGTTACTCTTCCAATCATCAATATCAATATCTGGCAGACCGGAAATCAAGAGCTCTAGCTCTTGCTCGTTGAAGATAGAGATCAATTCCGCTGGGATAATGTCGTGGAAGCCTACGAATGTTAGCAAGTAATGTGTACACCATTCATGATTTGCTTACCTTGAAGGAAATGCGCCATTTGCTCCTTGACCGAGGATAATAGCTTGTGCTCAACCACCAAACGAACATAGTCGTGCTTGTTCTCTTCAGTGACTGCAATTTCTCGGCCGTTAGGGATAAGGTCTACAACGTTGGTAACACCAAATTCATCATCCTCAACTGAGAAGGTCTCGGTGATGATGTCTGTGATGTCGTTGTTCAGCATCCAGCACAGAGACTTGTAATAGTCAGGGTCGAAGGACTCCATATCCTTGACTGAAACAGATTTGCCCAGGATTCGCTTATACAGAGCACGGCTAAAGTAGCAGTCAAGGACGCGACCTTCATACAATGCCTTTCCGATAATGCGGCCGATGAACTTGAAGAACAACAAATGCTCATCGTTGATACCGCTAAGTTTGTTCGGGTGGAAGGTGGTTCGATCTGAGGACACAGGCGTGAAAAGCACGTAATTAGGGTCAAACATTTGTCGTGACAGTACCTGGAACCACTCGCGAGTGACACCACCAGCATCGACACCTTCCTCTCCATGGAATCGGATGTTGAGCTTGCCGAACTTCATCTCATCGCCTGATTTGAAGTACAAGTGCTTGAAAGAGTCATGGAAAACATGCTCACGGCGGACAGACAGTTGTAAGGCGGGATATGCTGGCCGGCTCTGGCTGTTACCGGATCGTGAGTGAACACTACGGTTGAAGTAGTTGCGCTTGTTATCAAACTCCAGTACCTTGGGGTTCTTGACGAGCAAGGCGAATGTACCTGACATGAGCTTGGGATTACTCCTAACAAGCTCATTGAGAATGCGGCGGTGGTCCTCGGTAAAGCTAAAGAAGAGACTAGCCGTACGAGACTCGGGTGGTGGGCTTGACAGGACCATATCTTTTTGCTGGGGGTCGTCGTTCGTAGTGGTGTTCTTGCAAACCACCATTAGAGACTCAATCAATGGCAATAAAATTGTCGCCACGTTGAGCATATTTTCACGTTGACGAATAGCAAGAAGACAAGCGCTCAGCTTATCCCACATCGCAGAAAATGTCGAGTTGTGGTAAAGCGATGTGACCAGATCGTGTCTCTCGTCCTTGTTCTTGTTGGACTCGGCTTCGTCGGCTTTCTTCTTGGTGTCAAAGAGGTGATCCAAAGCGGTCAAAACGCGCAGAAGCTTGTTTTGCTCGGATGCCCCTGGTGAGAACTTGGCAAGAGCAACGCCTTGAATCTCAGTGCCTGAAGATGCCTTTTCGATATGGGGCAAAAGGTCATCCAGATCAGCCACGATATTCTCACTCAAGAGCCTAGCCTGGTGAACGAGCTCCTGTCCGAACGTTGCCTTGGCCCCTGGGATGGCTGAAAGGTTTTTGATTGTTGAGATAGTGTTCTGGAAGGTCTTGGAGCTGCACTCTCGAGCTACAAAAATTCTCACGGCCAAGGTCAAGTTCTGGGCAGGAACCACAGGCGGCTGAAGCTGTCGGAGTTTCTTTTGGATCGAGTCTCTCTTCGCTTGTCTCTTTTCAGCGTCACCGGTAGGGATATTCTCTTTGCCCTCCTCTTTGGCAGTGTTGAGTTCGTCAGCAGTGCTTGTCTCCGTTGTCTCTGTACCTGAGGGCTGTCCAGCGGTATTTGCTGCTGTAACAGGCTCTTCTGACTTGGTATCAATGGCTTCCAGTTCATCCTCAGCCTCCTTTCGCCGCCGCTCCAAGTTTTGGAGAGGTAGCGTCACTCGGTTTAGAAGATCAGCCAAATGAGTCATGACAACAGAGCTTTCCATAACTAAATCGCGGTCGAGTAGCGATAGCAACGAGTTGATGGCGTACTTGTGTGACTTCGAGTCCTTACCCTTGCCTTTGCGGCTCAAGGATCGCTTCAAATTAGAGCCGACGGCTTCGTGCTCTGTCAGAAAAAGCCATTGAATATGAGGATTCTTAGCAGATAGCTCCACCAACAGATCCAGACACTGCTGGACAATCAGAAGAGGCGAGGTTTCTGAGTTTGTCTGCGTAGTATTGCCGACAGATAGACCAGTCAGACTTCTCTTGAGAGGCTGAGGGGTCTTCTGCTCAGACTCCTGACCCTTGTCCTTAGGTCTTCGTGCTTTTAGAGACAGTTGACCGAAGCTGCGCTCTACAGCACCCATATCTGTGCTGCCATCTTGCAAAATCTGGAGGAGGGTGCTGATCACCTCGAGGCGGGTCTGCTTGTTCTCGCATACATCAGCGAAGACGTTGAACAGATGGTTTCGAATTGAACCCTGCTGGGTAATAAACATCAAACGCAGCAGCGTGGCGACCCCAGCCTTATCGAGCATCTGAACAACTGTGCGACGCTGTACCTTTGTCCCTTCAGGAGGTACTGGCGGTCCAGTCTGGCGAGCTGAGTTAACAACAGGAGGGCTGCGGCCAACAACGGCCGGATGGACATTATGCTGCTGGGCTAAAGCTCGGGCCTCCGCTGCCATCGCTGGAGTAAGTTGATCCATCAGTTCTTCACCTTGATCCATCAGAACCTGCTGTCTAAGCTCGGGAGGGAATGTCAGAAGGATACTGGCAGTGTCCATTTCTGGAACGACGGCTTGACCAGCACCTGCAGAGGCTTGACGGTTGCTTTCTTCGCGGGCACGGCGACGCTGCTCCTGACGCTCCTGCTGAGCAATCTCCATGCGTAACTCTTCGGGAAGGGCATCCAGAAACTCCTGGAAGGCTTCGGTCGAATTTCCATTTGTCTCCTCCCGGGCCTCGGATCTGCGCGTGCTGATTGCCTGAGCGATGACCTCCTCACGGAACTCCTCAGGCAAAGCTGCGATGTAATCAGGATCGATACCTAGTTCAGTGACGTCGACTTCTTCGCCTCTAATCGTGGTCATAACACGAGGACCATCGCTCTGCGTGGCAGGGTCAGGACGATCTGCGTCCCTTTGTTCAGTTGGCTCAACGCCTTCCATTGCGCCCCCAGCGCCTTCAGCCTGGGCGGGAGCGTCTTGGCTCACAGCGGCAGCTTCAGACGCTGCGCGTTCGGCGGCCTCACGCGCTTCGGCCTCTTGCTTCTCTCTCTCCGCCTTCTCTTCGACTTCCCTTGCCTCGCGCGCTAGGCGTTGCTCCTCTTCGCGCTTCCTCCGTTCCTCTTCTTCACGCTTTTGTTGTTCTGCCTCTTCGGCCTTTAACTTCCTCTCCAATTCCATCGCGGCAGGCGTTAGTTTGGCCATAATGATATTCCCAAGTTTAGATGCTTCTGCCGTAGCGTTCGCGCCGAAGATCATCCTGGCTTCTTCTTGGTAGCGGTCCATTGTGCCCTCGATGACAAAAGAAACAGCTTGGGATGGATCCTGGCCTAGACCCTCACGTCTTTGATCAGTGCGAGAGGTCCGAATAGCACCAAGTTCTCTAGACTCGCGATGGCCGGTTGGACCAGTGATTTGGAGGTGGAACGCATGCTGTCCATTTCGTCCCATAATTGGAAGGAACTCCATTATCTCACTCAAGAAACCCATGGGTCCATCTGGGTTTCGACCACCTGGACCGAAAATGGCTTCGGGAACTCGCAAGCCGAAGGATTGGTGAGGTCCGGGGCGCTGGGGGTTATCCCGGTTCTGATCACCACGTCTCAGAAGTGGGTTAGTGCCATCATCAGCATTATTTTGAGGCCTGTTCTGTTGGTTGCGTGAAAAGAAGTTGCGGAAGTCCCCGGCCATTTCACGGTTACCAACTATGAAGCTTGGCGGGAAAGCACCGCGATTGTCACTTCGTGAAGCAATAAGGCGCCGACGGTGATGACTATTATCCATCATGAACATTTGTCGCCGTTCATCATCCTCGCCTGCGAGGCCGTCCCAGCCGAGAGCTGGCATTGGCTGAGGTTGATCGTCCATAGCATATTCATCGTCGTAAAAATATTCGTCATCTTCCATCTCGTCCTCCTCGTCCTCGTCCTCATCCTCATCATGGCCCTCGTCGAGATAGTGATCTTCCACCATCATATCAGGATCGTAAATGTCGCCGTCTCCCATAATGGCACGAGCCATGCCGTCGAGAATATCTCCTGGCATGTGCATATGCTCTTCGTGAACATGTCCATCATATTCCAGGTCGTCCTCCTCCTGGTCTTCATCGTCATCGTCGTGGCTGGCGCTCTCCCAATCCGAGTTGCCATCGTCATCAAGAGGATTTCCGTCTTCGTCAACGATTTCCACCTGATCTTCCACATCCTCCATATCCGCCGACCCCACTTCGTCATCGTCGTCGATTTCTTCATCACTGTCGTCTTCGTCATCGTCTTCGTCCATTATAACTTCAACGACGCCTGGTTCGCCGTGGAGGCCTTCGATTTGGCCCATGTCACCGAGTTCTTCATCGTCATCACTGATATTTTCTTCATCCGAGATGTCATCATCTCCGTATTCCATCTCGTCGTCATAATCATCCCCATACATATCCTCGTCGTCGTCGTCCTCTTGGTCGTCATCAGACTCATCGTCTTCACCACGAGGCTCCAGCATTCCAAGTGCAGAGTTACGATACAGATCGGGAGTCTCTTCGCGGTCGTCGAGGTCAGAGAGTGAGGAGGTTGAACCGAGATCGTCATCGGCCGTGTCGGACAAAGAATCTGTAGGCAGGAGGATATTTGAATGACTCAGCTCTTTAGCCGTCTCGGTAAGGACCCGTAGCACGCGTAGGATGTACTTGATGGCACGTTTGACGCCTGGGTAATTGAGGTTGATTTCGGCGATGGATGATGTCAGTTTTTCGAGATAGCCCTTCTCATACATTAATCTCCGTAGCTGGGCATGTGATCGAGCCAGCACGTTATCAGCTCGCCCAGGACCTGCATGGTCCTTATCCTTCTCGCCAACCATGTGGTTCATAAGCTCGGCCAGACACTGCATGCGCGAGTATCTTGTTTCCAAGGGTTCATCAGACAAGGGTGCTCTTTCGTAAGCCTTGAGCATGGTATCGAGAACAAATTTGCGTGCAAACAAGAGGTCTGGTTCGTCCTCATATGCAAACTTGTCTTTTCCGCGGTCAATTGCCTTCTCAGTTGTCTTGGAGACGAGTGCAACCAAGACCTTCTGAGTCTGTGCCGAAGTTGCGGCTTTCTTCTTACCGGCGATGCTGTCAGCTGTTCCACTCAAGTTGCCCTGGCAGAGTAAATCATAGATCAGGTAGTTAAGAACTGATGAACGAGGTTTGATTGGCGTGCTTGTAGTTAAAGGAGCATTTCGCTTGAAATTAATGAATTCCATCTTGGTTCGGTTGTAGCTTTGCAAAAGCTCAGCTAGACAATTGAGTAAGAAGCAGCGATAGACAAATATAGGGTGCTCCTCGGACTTGAAAACAGGTTTCGTTGGCTTCTTGTCCTTTGCGTCAATTGCATTGTTATCTTTGGGAGAGGAAGAAGTGTCTTCGGGGTTAGACACAGGATCGGGCTTGGGGTCCTTCTCAGCCACTGGCACTTCCCTATCATCGACCTCGCGATAGTTGAGCAACTCGCAGAGAAGGTAGTGAATGACGCCATCAGGATTTTCGACAACAGGCCTCTTGCTCTCGTGTGGCTTTGGTGCATCCACCATCTCCTTATCTACAAGCTCTGTGGACGGTTTGATGCCTTGTTCTGTCCCGTTCTCCGCGTTGTCATTGACTTTATCAGTGCTCGTTTCAGTTGATTCATCCTTCAACACAAGGGATTGGGTCCGAGAGCTATCATTCGAAGATGGTGCCCATCTTGTAAAGCGGAGCATCTCGTTCGTGACTTCAACAAAGAGGTCTGGAGCACGGAGAGCAATCGGTGTCATCTGCCGTAAATAATTCTGGACATCAGGGGGGCCACGCTGCGTTCTGTGCAGTGTGGGGTAGCCGATCTTGATCTCAGCACGCATGATCTGTTTGATAGTCTCTTCATCTTCGATAATGTGGCGCAGAATAGTCATGATGTGAGCAGTAAGCTTGCTTTGCTTGAACCTCTCGGAGCCAGAACCCGACAGTTGTTTTGTCATAAGAAACAGCCGTTGCAGGTTCTTCTTGTCCCCAACCACCTTGGCGAGGCGTCGATTGCGGGTTAAGATGACTAGAATTCGGAGCGCAGCAACAGCGAGGGTTTCTTCTTTTCCAATGCGGGGAAGCATTTCGAGCACGAATTCCAAAACATTTGCTCGCTGGTTCTCACCAATAGTTAGAGTTTGCAGTTGAATGACGGGTTCTGAAACAGGTTCATCCTCAGATTTTGGTGCTTTCCACTGTGCGGCAACAGGGCGCTCGTCATGTCGAAGAAGTGTCTCGATGACAAGAAGGATGTAAGGAATCCAAGGTGGCATCTCCTCAGTCGAGGTCGAAGACGAAACCTTCAAGAAGCCGATGTACTCATCAATATGATCCTCAAGGCTCGCCACATTGTTGATAAAGAAGCGCTCGTCCTGCAAGAGCAATGCTAGCAGATGGGCATAAGCAGCTATACACTTCCCATTGCGTTTCTTTTCATCCTCCTCGTTTTGGGCCAGTGAAGACAGTGCCAAAGTCAGGGTTTGGCCAACCTCGTCGTCGTTATCATTAGGTTGTTGCTTGATAGTTATTCGAATGAGCTCAGAAACCTCAATGGCGGTTTCAGGATGAGCACGAACAACATCAAGACACCTGTCAATCAGGTTCGCACGCAGCTCAGCTCTAAACTTATCAACATCTTCCCGTGTAGCAGCCCGAGAAGGCTCTTTCTCCTTCTTGTGAGGTTCTTCCAAAACATTCGCTGGTGTTTCATTCGTCACATTTTGGGATTCGCGAGTATCATCTGTAGTTTGAGGTGGATCAATGATTTCGCCTAGTGCTTCTCCGAGGAATCTATCCGCGAGGTCTGGAGTAGCAATTTCTGGTGGCCCATCAAGGGACATGCGGTCTGTTTCCGCGCTGCTGGCTGCGTTTGTGCCTTCTGTGTCGTTGGCGCCTGAGGTTTCTTGCGGGGTCTCCTGCAAAACAGAAGTGTCAGAGTCCATAGGTGGAATCGGGTTGCGGGCGCCGGCGAGACCAGCTCGATGAGCTGAGCAATACATCTCTGCAGCAGCCACGCTTCCGTTAGCTCGGAATATCGCTTCGTGAATTAGGTCGGTCTCGTATCCTTTAGTGCGCAACTCCTCAATGGCGCCGCGATGAGAGCGCCAATCAAATCGAACGTCTGTGTAATTAAACAGCTGGAAAACAGGCCTGCCCCTTGATGTTGAAGGTTCGTGTTCACCAGTGGCGATCAACTTGAGGATGTCAATCAAGCATGTCGCGGTTTGATGTGGTACTTTTTCCACGAACTCGGAATCCCAGAGCTTGGTAATTTCAGGAAGAACGGAGGCTCTGAACTCTACCACAAGCTGTTGGGTGGGATGCGAAGACCTATCTGCAGAGCGAGGCAGCAGGCCGAATGATTGTTGGGCGTCAGTGAGTGGCTTGCCATTAACCAATACTAGAACCAGTTCCAGTACCTTCTTGAGCCCGAAGGCGGCGACCTTGGATCCGGAAGCTCCATCCGCAGCGACGCCCCGACCATTGCGAACTGCTTCGGCAAATATCCTGAGCATTGAGTTCAAAACATCCATTCCGCCTTCTTCTTTAAAAGCGATGAGGACGGGCAAGATGATATTTACGCCTGAACGATCGCTTGATCGGTGATTGGGCTGATCAATCACCATTTCACTAATAGTATGTAGCATGATGATCCAGAAATGGAAATCCTTGTGAGTGGGTTCCACAGTGGCAACTGATGGCCTCAGCTGGCTGAGAATTGCATTTGCAAGGGCTCTGGCAATCTCCAAGTGACGCGGGCGTTGATAACTATCACGAGGGTCTCGCTCCCGGCGGGGGAGTAAGGACTTTCCGAGCGTTTGGAAAAGAGGGAAAGTTGTTGGGATCATAGGGTGCAATAGATGCCGGAGCGTCTCGTAATTCTGGTAGCGAGGACTGGCTTGCTCCTCCTCTGTAGGACGGCTCAGCTTGGTCTCATCCGGAGACGCCTTTGGTTGGAACACCCCTGTGCTGCCCAGCATATCTGGTAACAAAGTACTGTCCCCCACGTCGTGTTCAGAATCAATTGCAGTGGGTGATCCCTCCGAGGATGGTTGGCGCTTAAACGACCAGTGTTGGGGAACGACGTTGAGCTCTCCTGCCTCCTCCGTAAGGACTCCACGGAGGAGAGGTCCAATTGAGTTCACCAGGTTGAGGTAGTAGTCCCAGACATTGACAGGATAGAATGTCAGAGAATTGGACCTTGTTGTACAAAAGCAGTCAGATATTATTTTGATAAAGGTCTGCGCATTCAATAATGCCTTGATCATTTTGGTACCATTCTTAACCGCTGTAGGTTCCTGGTCGTTCTGCGCCAGTTTGAGGTCGGTGGCAAGGAAAGGTGCGAAGTACGGAGGCAACGTGTCTGTTTTATCAGAGAGAGGTTCCAAGGTGTCGATCGCCGACTGAGCTCGCCTGATGATAGAAGGAAGACCGCGAACTGGGGAACCATCCACGATCTGAGAGATAACTTGGTTGAGAATCCTTGAGGAAACGGTGTCGCCAAAGTTGATGGGCAGACTTGGGGACTCGCAGATGTCAAGCAACAACTCCAGGCCTCCAGCATCTACAAAACTGTTCTTGAGTCCCTGGTTTGACATGTAAGCGCTCAAGAAGTATCCCAGGGCATAGATGTAAGGCGTAATTGATTGGTCTGGCGAAGATGGCTCTTCATCCTTGCGGGACTCAGGGTCCGCATCATTCGATGGCACTGCATCAGACATGTTCACATCTGCATCACCAGATGTGTCCTGGCTCTGAGTCTTCTCAGAAGACGCGCCTTGTGATGACACATTTCCGTTCTCATCCACAGTTACAGTCTTGCCCTCGGAGTCCACTAGCAACAGCCGGGCGCCCCATCCATCGTTTCTCGCTTTTTCAATTCCGAGGAAACGCACGCGGGCAACCATGTCAATTACAGCGTTTGCAATGGCTGGTCGCAAGGCTGGGTGGTGGCGAGCAAGCTCGTCGAAACTCGCTCCAACGTTGTTGGCAAGATCTCCATCAAGCTCCATACATCGTACATGTGCAGGACTCTCAAATATTTCCAAGAAGCCGTCAAAAGCCTGCGAGGCTACTACTAGGTTCATACCCGCATTGTTGAGAGATATGGAGCTTAGGACCTGTGGAACAACTGTAATGGCATCTGTTGAGGGCAGGATCCCTGCTGCCAATGGTCCACGAGACGATTCCCGGAGTGCTTGCTCTGTAGGAGGATGTGGCCGTGTATCATTTGCAACAAGTGAACTGACAGTGTTTCCTGTAGAGTTGTTTTCGTCCTCTTCGTCTTTGTCTGATGATTTCTGCTCAGTCAATACTTCACTTGGCAGTGGTCTGTTGGTGACAGCTTCCAAGTAGGTCTTGATCATGCCAGACTCAGAGATGGCGGGGAAATTTGTAGGATCGTTGTTAATAAAATCACCAAGAATGGTAACAGAGTTCGTCCAGACAACAGAGCCAAATGTCTTCTTGTCTTCGATGATGTCCCGCAACTTCCCGAGAAGATCCGACTTATCAACGAGATTGCGGAGTAAACGATCGTAGTTACCGCCGTAGCTGAACGAGTTTGACATGATGTGGTGAACAAACTTGAGAAGCCATTTGAGTGTCTGCTGTTGGTAGTACGGGATTTCGTAGTCCACTTGTCCCGACTGTTGACTCTTTGAAATACCTTGTCCTGCTTGGTGCAAAGTCTGCGCTTCCTGGACAGTATCAACAACCAATTGAGATACTGCATCGAGACCTTTAGCATTGAAGAAGGCAGTAAAGGCGTTTTGATAGGTCCAGATCAGGCCGTCTAGAAACGCAAGAACCATGGAATGGTTTCGTTGTGCGACAGCCGACCTAATGTTCAAGATTTCGACTAGAATTTCCATAAGTCCTGCTGACACCATCTCGCTTCCCACTCGTGTGGACATGGAAAGGTGAAGCGTAAGAGAAAACAGGTTGTTGCGCCATTCGTCCATTTCTGTGACCTGGTTGCCTTTGTCGCTGTCGTCATCCTCCTTCATTCCAGCAACCGCTTTTCTGATAACATAAAGTAAAATGCCGTGGTTGACATTTGCATTCAGAGCAGACAAGACATCCTGGCACCTGGCTTGGAAGTTCGATATAGCCTCGAGCAAGGCAAGAGCCACAGCTTGCAGCCACAACGGAACGTCAACGTTTCCGTGGGCTGTAGGGTGAATGAGTTCGGCTAGCTGATAAACAAGCTGAAATCTGCGAGTTTCATCTGCGTCTTGACGAAGCACCTTTTCCAGGAAGCTTGCTTCGTTATGGATATAGGCGAGGTTGTTAATAGACAGGAGGCGGACAGCCAATAGCTGTTGGCGTGACTCGTTGGAACCCATAAGGGCTTTGGAGGTTCTGATCCTGTGAAAAATCTCATACTTCGCAGCCGAGGGAAGGTCTGCAGGAACGGATGACATCAGCCGATAGATAGAAGTTGAAGAAACAACAGACTGCGGTAGTTCAAAGACTTTGGATCCAGCCGAGACCGAATCTTCAGCGTTACCAGGTGTCCGAGGTCCAAGCGGAGATGAGTCGTCCAAGTTACTCCGACTCTTCGGGGTCTGGTGCTGAGTTGTCATCGTGGAGCTGCGACGAAGTGGTGTTGGCGTAGACGGCATTGATGCGCGACTGCCGTCGCCGCTGACGGACTCCTGCTGGGCGGTCTGGGGATAATAGATCACCTTAACATCGCCCCAACCAACCCACCGTTTGTCATCCGACGCCGCAAGAGCGACTAGATCATTCGCGTGCATAGAGTTGGCCGTCTTGGAACTTCCTCCTGGCGTACGGTCTTTCCCTTTGGCTGACCCGGGTGTGTTTGATGGCACGGGGTCCGATAGGTTAATGATCGGTGTCTTGACAAAGGGCAGGGCAAGCTGCTGGACTCTGTCGAGATCAATATTGTAGTGGTTGGCAAGCAGTGCTGTGCTGATCTGTCTCGAAGGATTTGCTATGCGTTTCACGGATGCTTGGTACCGCTGGGCTAACTCTGAACCAACTTCGAGTGTGACAATTAGGACACTCAAAGACGTGGTGTGAAGGAGATCATTCAGATAAGCGCTGCTGGCATAAATGCTCCTGTTACCGCAATGCTCCAATAGCATGCGAGTGAAGCGCAGCACTACTTCCACTAGTTGCCTGTCTCCATCTGATGAGAAGCCCAAGTCTGTCAACTCCTTCGCTGACCATTGCTTCTCGCTACCAAAGGTAGATTCTTTGTCCTGGTTGAGCAACACATCGCACTCGAAATCGCGAGCTTGGGGACCCTCGTTCAGTTTGTATGTGGCGCAAAAATGTTCAAGAATGCTGTCAAATCGGTTCAGAAGGGGTATCCAGTGGTACAGATCGCCACGTCCGAAGGGCCATCGCGAGGGAAAGCTAGCAAGCTCTTTTGGTAAGTGGGGTAGAGGTACTGTTGAGGTGGTTTCAACGTAAGCTTTTAGCCAAGGAGACTATCACATTATGTCAGTATTGCATTCGTCGGATAGGGCGTTCGCTACTGACCAAGGTATCCTTGTGCTTTTGTTGCATGGGCTTGGTTATCTTCCCCATGATGAAGGTGAGGCGGCTGAGCCGCAGGAAACTATGGAATCTCCCCCTCCACTACAGCCGGGCTAACAACCCGCTGAATAAATAGTTTGTCCGCGGGAAATTTTATTCGGTCGGCTGCTTCAGTTATGAACGATCCGCGACTAAGCGGTGGTGGTGATCAGCTTCTCGAAAGTTGGAGCTTCGCGGGCTCTGGTCGTAACAGCCCTAGGATAACTCGGAAAGAAATTTTCACCCGGAAAGGGTATGACGTAGTTGTTTTTGTCGGTGAGAGAAATATGGGGTGTGATGGCTGAAAAGTAGGCACACGCGTGTTCGGCAAAGAAATATCGAAGGTAGTCGATGAAGCTTAGGAAGCAGTCCAAGGTCGAGTGCAGGTCGATCCTAGAACAGCTTTTATCCGAGGCCAAATCGTGCCCTGTCGGTTACAAAGATGGAGCCGATTATTCTCTTACCGGCTGGCGTGGGTAGTAGGAAAATCTTGGGTCGATATGAAGAGAAGAGAAGAGTATTTGGTGAAGATGCGGAGAGAAGGTGCAGGATGGGGAAAAGGCATCTTGCAAATCGTCAGGTTGAGGTACAAGTGGGCCTTTGCGTAATGCCCAGGTGCCGGAAGGCGGAAGCTACAGAAGTGGAGGTACCTTCCAGGCAAACCTTCCACTGTACAATACAAACAATCCCCGGGTTTAAGGATCGGATAATCTTTTCAGCTTACAGCATGTATCAGTCTTGTTCATGATGATATTTTCCAGCTGCACTGCAGATGAAGCAGTACATAATTGGACGGTTATTAACTGAGGCACATGGCGCAGAATATTATTCACTATTGTCATATCGATATAAACGACTGGTCTTTCATCAGGACCAGTAGGGCCAAGACCGATGTCTAGTCGGCATGGCCTATCTTCTCATGATGGGCAAGTTATTAGCTACCTGTACTCGAAGCGTTTGTTTATTTCCGCTGCCTCTCATCGAGTGGGGTAGCCAAATGGCATGAGCCGCCTAAACAGAAGCAGAACACTTTGAAAATGGAAACTCATTAGGTTCGGTTACTAACAACCCATCAGGAAATTTTTTGTTACATATGAACCTGGCAGCGCCAGCTCATACTGGGTGAAGAATCCAACTTAATCATAATACTGAGCTTTTTTTCTTGTTCACCAAACAGCCCAGAAGCATATGCCCAGTTGCACAGCCTAGGTACATACCAAGGCTACTGGGTAGCAGAAACGTTGGCCTCCTAAGTCTTAGGGTACAAAAATGAGTGGTCTGAGAAGTGTGGCCTAAGTAGCATAAATTGGCCTATTAATTTCGTTTCTTATGCTGCCAGCAGCTAACTTTTCTGGTACCCTGATGCAAGGTAGGCGTAAAACTGCAAACTCCAGGGTAAGTAGCACATATGCGATGGAAACACATGGCAAATAATCATGATTTGATCCACCTTCATTTTCACTGATTAATAGCTCAATTAAGGTGTTAAATATACGCGGTATGCTCTCCATATAATACTCAGATCTATTGGTTTTGACGTAAGCACGTGTGTATCAAACTACCAGTTAATTGATAGATACAATTAGCCCGAGTCAATTTGATAGGGCGTTAAGCATGGGAATCACCTACGTGAATAATTGATAAGCATGAAACGATTTAGTTTCCTGATGTACCTATCTCTGAATATTCAAAGTCTTTGTCGTATGGCTGATGAATGGATCCGCTGTTTGCAATTCAGTCCAAGCAAACTCACATCAGGACAATGGTGACGTCCTGAAGAGGTTTACATGACTTTTCGAACAAAGTTCTCTAACTCTGACAGAAAAGTATATGCTGAACAAAACTACGCACTATCCACGCCTGAGAAGACCTAAACTTGATATGTGAGGGCCTAGAGGACGAAACAGTAGAAGAGTCCATAGCATCCTAGACCATTTATGATGCTATTTACGTTTTGTGCTCTGGACTGTTCAAATGTTTTAATGTCACATAGTCAGATAAATATGTGTTTTGGCTATTAGTCAAGCTAGGAGGTAGGCAGGTGTATATCTATTCCATGATTCTTGATCTTATGACCGTCCTTTAGTCTAGGTATTCGACAACCTATGAAACAGGCACCTTAAAGTTCCTATTGGTTAGCTCTGGATCCACGTCATGCAGCACTCGTGAAACAAAGTTATTATAAACCCCGCCATAATGGGTTATCCTTTCTAAATCGATAAAGCCATTGCGTGTTGGATACTAACTAGAAATCCATTATTTTCTCGAGTAGGTTGGCATCCAAGAATAATTTTGAAAAAGGAGTTTAGACATAAGTTAATTTGTTATTTAAGACCGAAAGATGTAACTCGGATCTTGGGGCAAAGTACCATAAGAATAAACGGTTCTATTTGGAGTACCAGGGCTAGAATACTGAGGAGAAGGAGGGGCAAGTACTTAGTTGGTAGAGATATTAATAACTTACAAAGATGGCTGTCTAGTTGTGAACAAAACCATCGTTACACGACAAAGTCTAGCCCCGCAACGTATTGATTGACTAGAGATCTTGTGCTGTAGTTAATAACTAAAGCTACGAGCTTTGTACATAAATGCAAGTCTGTACTAAATATGCGCAGAACAGTACCATCACACTAAGAGGCGCAGACTGTTACAGTCAAGATAGCAGCAAATATTTGAAAGGAGATTAACACCACCCCAAATCATCATGTGTGAACATTATGCTTGCTATTATCCATCCCTGGGATACCCTGGCGCCTGGCTGGGGCAGGATCAAATTGCCTCTCAAGACTGGCAAGCCTCCAACCGAAACGGGTTGAATTTGAATTCCAGACAAGGCCAGTTATAGTACGACAAAATTAAAACGGCTGTGCAGCAGAGACTAATCTCCATTCCAAGTGACCCTGTCTGACGTTTTCTGATACCAAATTACACGTTCAAGGGCGCCCCTAAAATAGGCTCCATTCTTAAGGTCTGTTACCCCTCGGTACTCAGGGCACCCGACCACTGTACTCCACCTCTTTTTTTCTGAGCTGCTGCCCATCAGGTACGCCAACCTCGCTGTCGGTGACCCCATTTCGTTTATTTTTGGCAGCCCCATCAGCGCCTCATTGTCACAACAAAACCCTTGCGAGCTTCCAGTTCTTATGCGAGTTCCACATCCACTGTCGACGTGGTAAGGGGTAGAAGCAGAACCACAACATCAACGCCACAACATCCCCCTTGTATTCGATTTCTGCCAACAGCTGGCCTCTGGCATTCTTCCATTTACTCTGCCGCCGGACGCAGTACTCATTCTTCCGATTTCCAATTTCCCTGACACCTGGCGCCCTTCCGCATAAGCTGCTCCCTACATCCGACTTTCGTATATGGAAGGTAGCTTGAAGGGGCCAGATAATCGTTCCCATCCCTGACACGAAGACTGCAACTCTCACTCAGATTTCATACGACAACAACATCCACAACCATGTCGCAACCGCAGGAAGTCGCTTCGCCTGTGATCGAATCGCACACCGGTCCCGATCCCGTTCCAGAGCTAGAGAAACAAGAGAAGCAGGAAACACAGGACACAGAAGAGAAACACGATGCACCAGACGTTCAGGAGAAAAAAGATATAACAGAGACACCGGACAAGCAAGAAATAACGCTTGAGATGGAGGACAAATCGGACAAGGAAGAGACCAATGAAAAGCCCGACGAGAGAACAGAGAAGACTGAAACGAAGCTTGAAGACAAGTTTGAAGATAGTAGCGAGGATGACTCCGACGATGGCACTGAAAAAAAGCAGCAGCAGAAGGTGGATGAGAAGCCCGAGGAGAAGCCCGAGGAGAAGCCCGAGGAGAAGCCATCGCAAATCGATACCAATATCAAGAGGCTCTCGTCTGGCATGGAGTCTGACGACAGTGTGTCGGTAGGTCTTTTTCACATTCCTTTCTCGAACACTGCTATGCCAGTCACACAACAGACTGCATCCCTTATCTCATTCGGATACTAACCGAGTACATTAGGCTTCTGACGCGGACGACAAGTTTGAAGATGCTGTAGCGCAATCCCCTACACGTTCACTTACCAAACGAACCATCTCGCATGTTAAAGCTCCTAGCAGTTCAACAGAAGAGCAAGCTGATAGGCGGTCTGAGGAGTCGTATACTCGAGAGGATATCCAGGAGCCCAGCTTCGCCCAACACAAGGCAACTGCCTCTGAGTCTGGCAGCATTGCAAGTAGCATCCGCGAAAGGCAATCGCAACGGAAAGCATCCGTGGCCTCCTCACGTATCTCCAACACATTGAACCTGGATAATGTCAGCCTTGACGACGATACGCCTCCATCTCCATGTACGGCAAATCCCTAGTTGACTTTTTGTCAAATGACACATGCTGACATACTGCTAGTACCAAAAGACCTCCCGCCGAAGCCAGTCAGCAAAACAATTTCACTGAATAGCATCTCTCTCCCTTCTATGCCATGGTCGCCTGCCGCTGAGCCTGCAAAAAGCCCAGTGCCACCGACAGCTACACTTGCGCCTTCCCCACCGGCGCCACCACCTAGTCGAAAGCTAACAAGCCCCTTCTCTTGGCTTTCTCGAAGCTCGAGTAAAGAAAGAGAGCCTCCCCTCCCACCGCCTCCTACTGGCCGAAGAAACACAGGCGGTTCTATTGCTACCCTTGCTAGTAACCCCGAAATGATGTTGAGTCGACTTGAGGAAGAGAAGGATGGAGACTCGCTACCCGGCGATCCTGTCCAAAAGGTAACTTTGCAAGACAGGTTCAAGCAACTAAGACAACAGGAAGAGGCTGCTCGTGCGTTGGCAGGCGGTGAGAATGTCAAATATGACGGGGCACTTGGCCTCAGTTTGCCTGGCGATGATGGACAAACTCAAGATAAACCCCCATCATCTCCTGTCCCCCAGCCCATTTCTGGCCTAGCGCCAGGTACAGTTTCTGGTGTTAACGCCGGCCCCTCTGCTATTTCAGAGGAAAAAGTCGACTGGGACTTGTGGCAATCTGTTGTTTATGAGGGGCCAACTGCTGTGGCTCGCACAAGCGCCGAAGAACTGAACAAAGCTATTGCAACCGGCATTCCTAGCGCCATTCGTGGTGTTGTATGGCAGGTGCTGGCTGACAGTAAGAACGACGATCTCGAATTAGTATACAAAGATTTGGCGACTCGGGGCACAGATAAGAGCAAGGACCGCAACAGTCACAGCACAACCGCCAGCTCGCTAAGTAATGGAAACCTCAGTGTTCACAGTGGAGATGCCGTTGCGTCTTCCGCTTCCTCTATTAACTCGGACAATTCAGGCAATGGTCCATCTTCTCCCCCAAATGAGAAGAATGCAGAGGCAATACTGAAGGCTCAAGCTGCGGCCGCGGCTGAGAAAAAGCGAAAGGACAAAGAGGATGCTGCTTCGTTGCAAAAACTTGAAAAGACGATTCGTCGTGATCTTGGTGCTCGCACAAGCTATTCTAAGTATGCAGCAGCTGCCGGGCTTCAAGAGGGCCTGTTTGGTGTCTGCAAAGCATATGCTCTGTTCGACGAAGGTGTTGGATATGCCCAAGGCATGAACTTCCTCATCATGCCTTTGCTGTTCAACGTAAGTATTGCGTTTCCGTTAATTTTTTTCTTTTCAAAATACTGACACAGCTCCAGATGCCCGAGCAAGAAGCTTTCTGTCTTCTGGTGCGGTTGATGAACCACTACAAGCTACGAGATCTTTTCATCCAGGATATGCCCGGGCTGCACATGCATCTTTACCAGTTCGAACGTCTGTTGGAAGACTTTGAGCCAGCACTCTATTGCCATCTCCACCGAAAGGGGATCTCGCCTCACCTTTACGCTACCCAGTGGTTCTTGACGCTCTTCGCCTATCGATTTCCCCTTCAATTGGTTCTCCGCATTTATGATTTGATCTTTTCCGAGGGCCTGTCGGCGATCTTGCGCTTTGGTATCGTCTTGATGCAGAAGAATGCCAGCATCCTCCTAGGGTTGTCTGACATGCAGCAGCTCACCACATACTTGAAGGATAAGCTTTTCGATGTGTATATTGACAAGGATCCCAGCCAGGGCAGCCTTCTGGAGAATGGATTCTTTGGAAGTTCAAGTTCCAGTATGGATAAAGAGGTCTACCGTGCAGATCAGCTCGTCAAAGATGCTTGCGAAGTCCAGATCACCCCGGAGATGCTCAAAGCTTATAGCACTGAATGGGAAGAGAAGACCAAGGCCGAGAAAGACCGCGAGAATGAACTCATGGAACTCCGTTCAGCCAATCACAGCTTTTCCATCAGGCTCCGGAAGATGGAGGAGAGAGTTGAAGCTTGCGATCGTGAACAGGCCGATCTAGCAACGGAACTTGTGCATACCAAGGTCGAAAACCAGGAGCTCAAGGACGAGAATGATAGCATGCGAGGTCAGGTCCGCGAGTTGAAGATTGTCATCGAGAAGCAACCGATGGATCTCGAAGAGAGATGGAAACTCGAGCGTGATGATTTGATGAAACGCAATATGCATGTCCATGAGGAGAACCAGAGACTGGAGAAGGAGCTGGGCGAGCTAGAAGAAGAGTTGGTTCAGACCAAGCTGCGTTATGCAGAGGTGAGTATCTTTGTTGCTCCAACACACCACGATGAGTTACTAACATGTTGTTCTCAGATCAACTCTCAGCACGAGACCCTCAACCGCAAGTGGACTGACTTGAAACGTCAATTTGCGTAGGAATGCCTTTTCAACACACACGACCTTGGTTGGTTATTTGGTCCCTGACCATCCTTCATGTATAAAGTATTCTTGTTTAGCCGATTCTGTTAGCTTATGACAAGCTGGCTGGTTATTGCCTAGGTGTTTGATGGTTCGTTCACTGGACATGGCGAATCAGGCATGTCGTAATGATGGTAAACCCGGAGAAAAGACGAAGGCAGAATCATTTTCAGCCACCCCACACAAATATTTATGATCTAAATCCATCCGCCCAACGCAACGACATTGTGTAGACATGAGAGGCGAAGTTTGCAAGTTTTTTATTTTTACTTTTTGATAGTCCTTGGACAGAGGTTGGTAAGGTGGCGTAGGACAGATGATACTCTGGGTAGGGAATCCGGACGATGTACAATTTAATAGATGAAACAATAAATCACAAGTCACATTTTGCAGTTGAAGAGAGCTTGATCATGACATTAAATTCAGCGCAAGAAATTTTTTTATTCCTTTCCTTAAGGACCCATTCCGATGCGTTATGTTAACCTCATTCTGTCGTTAACCATGAGACAGTGAGAAATCCTTGAACACCATGCCAGGGGCCAACACTCCTTTCTTCATCAGCTTTTAATGACAAGCTTACTTGTGGAGCTTGCGCTGGTAGAAAGCGAGCTCCTCACCCTCCAGGATGTAACCATCGACACGGCCGGACTGACCGGGTCGGCTGGAAACAACAGCGTACAATCGACCGGCCTCGAACTGCTTCTCGATGGCGCTCTCGACCTTGCCGCGGGCAGACATGCGAGCAGCCTGCTTCTTCTCAACGGCGTTGGACTTCTTGACCTCCTCCTCGGTCTTGCCCTCCTTGGCGGCCTGGGCCTTCTGGCGTCTTCGGCCAAGAGCCTGACCGTAGTGGGCCTCGTACCACTGTCGGAAGGGAGCGGCATCAACCTGGACGACGGCGCTCTTGGTGAGGGTGTTGGTTCGGACCAACTCGTTGTTGGAAGGGTGGTAGGCGACGGCAATGACACGGGTCTTGCGGGTCAGGCCCTCGGAACCCCAGGCGAAGTTACCGGAGTCGAGACGGAGGGCACGGTACTTGTGGTTACCACCTCGGGTTCGGACGGTGTGGATGCGCTTGGGGCCAATACGGGTGTTGGCACCCTGGCGACCAGCCTCGAAAGCGCGCTTCTTCCCTGTTGTGAAAGGTCAGAACGTATGTCCAAAGGATCATACGGGCTTTCGGAATTATTACGCACTGTAGTAGGCACGCTTGGCACCGGAGGCGGAGCGCTTGTGTCGAGAGTCACGCGAAATACCCATGATTGCGGTTTCTGTGATGGGAGAAAAAGTCCCAGATGGTTAGCCAAATCGTCTTTTTCAAGGCGGGGGGAGAAGAGAAGAGCAGAGCAACTCAATGAGCAGGATATTCGAGATGAGGATATCGTCGAGCAGCGCCGCGTATTGAATTCGTCTCTTCGTTCTCGTCGTTTGGCAACCTACCTGATGATGTTGGCGCTCACCAGGCAATCGAATTGGCGGATGGTCGTAGGAGTGAACTTTTTTGGCGGAACGAGGGTCAAAGTCTAGATTGCCAAAATCCTGTGAGTATGTGCACCTTCGGTAAATCGGAACTGGGATGTTCCATTCCGAGGTGTTGAAAGCCCTAACTCCACTTGCTGACTCATCGACCAATAGCATAACACTGAGCTAACTATCATCAAACGGGCAATCTTTGGACTTTACGATGTGTTATTAGTGCAGTTATGGGCATTTCTAGTGATCTTTACGCAGCGAGTTTGTTCTGTTTATTTCAATACATCATGCTTTACTCTATCTCTAAACTATCAGCTTCCGATCTTTGAAGTCTCTCAAATGTGATAGCAGCAAGGAGTAGAGTCTAAAACTAATCCTCTTGAAATCTCAATGCCTGTCCAAAGCGCAACCAAGTGAATACTTGGCGCTGACAACTCCAATCTGTAAGAAGATATAGGATTGATAAGCTCGTTCATGACTATCTTCGTGTCATTCTCACCTGAAGCCTACTTTGAAAGTTCCTTCTTTTCAGCTTTCTTGTTCTTTAAGCTCTTTCCGCCCTCCTCCTCCTTCTCCTCTTTCTCAATATCGACCATGTCAATATCATGAAGCAAATCAGCAGGTAAGAACAGAGCCTCGTCGGTTTGAAGTTCAGGTGGTGGAAGCATAGAAGGCTCGTGTCCGGTAATAGGGCACAGAGAACTGAGTCTAAGTTGGACAACCTTCTTGTCCCAATGAATTGACCCATCCGAGTCATATGCTTCATCATCCCAGTGCAAGAATCTGTGAGCAACAAGACCCATTCGAGGAAGAGGCAAACATCGGCCCTCTCGATTAGCACGTTTGTCTCCCTCTTCCTTCAGTTCTGTAAGAGACGGCCACTCGGCCCCATGAGGCGGCATCATCCGTGCTTTGTTGAAGCAGTTAACGGCTGCGAAAACAGGTGAAAGATGGTCCTCAAATTTCTTACCACCCAAGAGTTTCATCGTGGGTTTTTTCTTATCCTTGGTACCTTCAACATCCTTGGAGTTGGTCTCCTTGAGACGCTGCTGTACCTTTTGTCCGAGTTTCTTCGTCTCCGATTCCGCCAGGGCTGCTTTAAAAGCCGTCAGCTCTGCCGGGCTTTGAGGAACAAATGGAGATTGGTCTGCGCTCATGTAGCGCAGGTTAGCCATCATCTTCTGAAAGGCCTGACGCTCCCTTGTAGCGAAGCTGGTCCAGCTTTTGGATTGAGACCAAGTACCAGACTCGGATACATTCAAGTTCAAAGCCTTCTTCACGGTTGCGCTAAACGATTGAGCTAGAGTGCGCGTAGAAGCTGGGCCTGTGGGAGCGTTCTGGGGCGGGTTGCTAGGTTTCTGATCTGTACCTCGAGACTTTTCCTGAGCATGGGCTTGACTCTCCCGTTTAATGTTGATCTTGGCAGCTCTAGAGACGCTGGGAGAATCCTGCGCAGATTTGACTTGTCGTGTTGGAATGAAACCGGTGGTCTTGGTTTTTTCAGCAACCTCTCGAAGTTCCTTGCCGATTTGCTCCCGCTTGGTGTCATCGTTGCAAACAACGCCAAGAAGTTGGCGGTCTTTACCAGCAGGCACCGACATCATCTAAATATCAGGATGCTTGTCGTTGTTTGAAATGGCCGATACCCCTCTACTCTCCTGCTTGATCTTTTCAACCTGCGTTTTCAAGTGTGTGGCACCAGAAGGACCATTGGCGGTTAGAACGGAACTTAGCATGTTTGGTTTTTGCCCATGGTGGCCTTTGACCGACCTGATATGAGAGGGGCGGTTTTGATCATCCATCTCGGTAGACGAACGAGAAGCAGACCGCGGGTGTGAATCGTATTCTGTTTCTATTCGACTCTGTTGTTGCATTGGTGGTCGAGATTGCGGCTGGGGATGGAGATAGGCCTGTGGAGGAAGCGGTCCATAGAGTGCGCCGCCATCTTCATTCGGCAGAGGTCCATACACCCGTTCGAATTGGTATTCGCAATCGGGGGGACATCCGATATTCGGAGGCATTGGCCAAGCTGCAAACGGCATCATGGTAGGTACCATAAGAGGCGGCATGGGCGGCGACACGAACGGTGGGTAGTCGATATGGTGATGTACTTGACCGTGGCATTCAGGATAACACTGACCGTAAGAGAGGGGTGGGAAAGGCGCAGAAGGCAGATATCGCGTTGGTATGTTGATAGGGGTAAGTGAACGATGAGACTTTGGTCCTCGTGGCTTGCCTTCTGGATGAGGAGTAGAGGGCCTCCACGTGCGTCTGGGAGATGTAGTGCTGCTTCTTAAATTAGATGATCTCCCGGTTCTTTTGGCCACACCAGATCTGGCTCGATGGCTCTCTCGAGACGAAGTTGGAGGAGTGTAGACGGTTGGTTTGAGTAGCTCTAGGGACTTCTTCGGAGTGTAGATAGTTGGCTTGAGGTATTCTACCTCTTCAGAAGAAGAGTTGACACTCTCACCATCGACCTTGCTGCTCTCACTCTCAGCCTTCTGATTCTCAGACTTCTCGTACTTAACGGTTGTCTGCTCTTCGTCATCCGAGTTTGATCGTCGGGCCTGGCCTTTTGTCAGCTTGGATGCCTGGGATCTCTTGTCTTGTCGCTTCTTTACCAGTCTTGGACTTCGAACACTTCGCCTGTCAACTCCCTGAAGGGCAGGGAACATTGTGTCGTATTTGTCCGGGTCAATAGTGATAGAAGGAAGTTCAATGCTCTGGCGTGGTTTTAGGAGGATATTCTGAGCTGAACGATGCATTTTCGTTGGCAGAGGTAGGGGATCGTCCTCGTTAGAAGAGCCATCCTCCAAGGTCGGTACGAACGTGGGTGCGCAAGGATTCATGTTTGCCAGCCCTGATGCACATGTGATATTGCGAAGAGAGATACTGCTACAAAAGCGAAAGACAAAGTTTCTTTGGGCCTCGAGTAGGCACAACGTGCTTGATAGGCTTGGATGATATGCGAGTAGATGGCAATGTGCTTGATTTTGGTCGCACTTTGTTGCCCAGAGCACTACGATAAACCTGAAGAAGTACTAAAGTTAGTTTGAATTTATTATTTATTATTTGAAATGTATGCTCTTACCCAGAAAATCTGAGTTTAGAATCTAAACAATGAGCAAACAATTAAGTTGATTAGGATGTCTTGGGTGGGCAGGACGGGCAGCATCATTGAACCAATATAAAAAGTGACAAGTTCGGCTAGGCGCGTATAGCAGATATTTAATGATGAAGTCGCGAGGTAAATAAAGAACCCAAGCGCGAAGCAGACGCGCGTGGTTTGGACGTGAATGCGTGTGCAGCTGATCGCCAGCTGCCAGTGAAATGTTAGCAAACAAACCGCCGTGCCTGGCCGGCACAAGGCAGATATGAACAATCTTGAGCTTCAAAAGATGCAGAAAATGGGAGAGGGAAAGAGGGAAAGTAGTGATCTCAAGCTATTAGAGGAGATGAGTGAGTAGAGAGGATCTTGAGGTGGTCGAAGGTGATGAGGTTGGTGTGCTGGGCGATCCTGATTATTGTTTAATCAAGGCAGCAGTAGACTATTTTCTTCGTATTATTTTTAGGCTACTTAATACAAGTTCTTAAATCAATAGACATGCACTCAGTGATTCAGTGACAGCCTCCGCAACAGGAACTTGATGTGATATCTTTTCTTCAATATGACTACCGACAAGATCAGAGTTCAAAGGGTCATATTGTCGCCAAAAAGAAGTACTCTGACGACTTCGGGAGACCACACAATCATCTTAATATGCTCCATTGTCTACGACTTGCTGTGATTGAAGAGTTAAAGGCGAGTTGAAAGTCTCGAAGATGAACATGCATTTGCCTTGGAGCAAACATAGGTAGGAGGTGTAAGATTCAGAACCATATTCTGTCAATTCTTATCTTTTTGAGGACATTCTACTCTACTTACCTTAATTATTGATCGACTATCAGTTCATTGAAATAAGACGCCATCTCTTTTCTTTCTTTGTCCTTACAACTCTCTTTGAACTACCAGCCATGCAAGTTTTAATTGGAATTATGTCGAGTCACGTAAGAATCATCAAGATCAAGAAGTGTACTATATTAGACAGAATATGTCAGCTTTGTCTACACCCTTTTCGGTACTCATGAGGCTCAATTATCACAAGCTTACAGACATGGATCTGGTGTAAGTGACAGAACCAATCAACCTCTTCCCAACAAAGTAGAAGGATTTTATTCCAGGGGTCACAGGGGAATAAGTTTAGTACCCCCACCAAAAAGACTAAACCGAGGTCTAGAAAAAAGGGTACGTACCTAATCTAATCTCGCCCTGACGACACGGAGGCCAGCAATTATTTCCTGGTTGTCCTCAACATCCGACCCCATTGCATGATCGATATCTTGCTTCTTCTCCTCCATTTCTGCCAAACTTGTTTAGTTCGAGAAAAACAAGATCAAGATGGCTTCCCTCAGGACTCTTACCATCTCTAACCGCTGTACGCTTCAACCCCTAACCGCATCACCGCTGTCCTGTCTGGCCTGGTAATTAACACTATACAGCTCCGAAGCAACCCATCAAGAACCTTCCAGAGTCGATCGAGGTCCAACCCGACACCACCGTCGAGGACCTCAAGATTTTGATCGCAAAGGAGACCAAGCTCGGTGACCACAACCGTATTGGTGTCTATGATCCCACTACCAAGAAGACCCTCAAGAACCGCAAGGCTCGCCTCGTCGATGAGCCCGCCGTAGTTGCAGCTGGCGAGGTCCTCATTAAGGATATGGGTAAGCATCAATTTGCACAATGACAACTTAAAACTTATTAACCAATGCAACAGGTTACCAAATTCCTTGGAGAACCGTCTTCGTCGTCGAATACCTGGGTCCCCTCATTTTCCATGCCCTTTTCGTCGCAGCCCGCCCCTTTTTGTACCGCAATGGAGACGGCGACATGTCCCAGACTCAATGGATCACTTTCGCCATGATCATGCTGCACTTCGTCAAGCGCGAGTACGAGACTCTCTTTGTACACAAGTTTTCCGCCAACACAATGCCCTGGAAGAACATCTTCAAGAACAGTTTCTTCTACTGGGCCGTCTCTGGTGCTGCCTGTGCCTACTCCATTTACAACCCCAACTCGCTCGCTGCCAAGGCCGACATGCCCGCCATTGACGCTGTTGGAGTTGCCCTGTACTGTTTCGGCGAGTTTATGAACGCTCTTGTTCACCGATATCTCTCCTCTCTGCGATCCACTGGTGGTACTGAGCGCAAGATCCCTGTTGGCTACGGCTTCAACATCGTTACTTGCCCCAACTACTTGTACGAGGTGCTCGCATGGATTGGAATCATCATTGTCAGCCGTGACTGGACGGTCGCTGTTTTCATCTCCATTGGTGCGGCGCAGATGATCAGCTGGGCCAAGGGCAAGGAGCGTGCCTACCGCAAGGAGTTCGGTGACCGATACAAGAAGAAGCGCTTTGTCATCTTCCCTGGTCTTCTGTAAGCAAATACTTTCTTGCTTGCAAACGAAGGCACAGATTTGGAAAGATAGATAAGCCAGGTTAATGAATACCTAGATAAAAATGGTGTCATGTGTGGGTGTAGATACAGTGCATAGACTTGAGACTAATGCTATATGATATGTTGAGTAAAGAATGCCTTGCAGTATAATCGTACCTTCAACGCCAAGCCGTATTTCCTATAATATAAGTGCCCCGAATTGTAGTAACATTGATTGATCCGTTTCCCATAGGCTCATCGTGACATCGTAGACATGGACGCTGTATCCGATCCTTTGGCGCCCCTCCCTACACTCGACTCTGCTTCTGTCATGCTCCGACTAGCATCCGAAAATGCACCCGGCGCATGGTTTTCAGTACCGATCTCCATATCGGTATTCAGTGTCTTGTTCACTTCGATACCTTTTCCCCTCTCATCGGCATCATTGTCTAGATCCATAGCCCGCTTACCATCCTCGCCTCCGCTCTCGCTCCCACTCCCACTGTAGCTCCCACAATCACTACAGCTGCAGCTACGATCGTCGTTTGCCAACCTAATCGTCTCCTCAAGGACAAGAAAGTCACGCTCCAGCACCTCAGCCCAGTTCTGTACATTGCCAATTTCCTTGAGCTTGTGCGCCGCAGCGTCGGCCTCACGCGCAAGCTTGACGTTCTCACGGCGCAGCCCGTCCGTCGCACGCTGTACATCCTGAGCCTGCTTGTTCAGTACAGCGGCATTGGAGTGCAGCGTCGATGCGCGCCACTGAAGCTCCGAGTCCATCATGTTCTCCAGCGTTGCGACGACGGCACGACGAGCTTCGGCGACATGGCGCTGCGTCTCGGCCGAGGGGAGCGTGGGCTGGAGGTGCGAAGATGGAGGAGACGATTGCTGCGCTGCCGATGGAATTTGCGCGTGGGCGTGAGCATGGGCGATAGACGGAGATGCGATTGTGGGAGGAGGAGATGTCGGCGGGCAGGGAGATAACGAAGAAGACGATGATGACGAGGAGCCTGTCGCAGCGGCCGAAGAGGCGGGTTGTTGCGAAGAAGCCGCTGCAGCTGACATGATGAATATAAGACCAAGTCGCTGGTCTGTTGGCTTAGCTTGAAGTAATTGGTTTATAACGTTAGATAATGAGAGATGTAGCTTGGCCGTTTCGTGTTGCTGATACCTTACACTGCATCTTGGTGGGGTCGAGGAACACTTCGTCTATCATGCAGCTGATGCACAAGATCATGGGATCTACCCTTCTTGGGCTGTATTACATCTACCTCGAGACACTGTATATTAGCCAACACATATTGCCACAGCAGTAGCTCTTATATATAAAAAACAAAATAAGTTGTGAGTTTTGTGTCCAAAATAGTCAGAAAGGATTTAAGCCACATTAGATTCATTATATGCTAGTATCGTACAAGGGAACGTTTCTCTGCCTTTTGCCGTACCATAGGAAAACTCTTGATTCCGTATATCTATATTCGCAGAGCAGCCTGATATTGACCATCATGAGGGTATTCCCCCGAACTTTTTGTTCCACCAAAGACGACGTTTCTTAACATTAACCCATGCACAAACTTTAGAATCTCGCGCCCCAAAAGAATTAAATGCAGATAACTTCCAAACGTTCTGATATTTAGTCATTCAAAAGCAGCTGCAACCCCAACGCCAAGGCTATGCGATAAATGAATGATTACGGACGCATACTTGTTCATTTGTGCGCCGGTTCAAAGAGCCTCGATAAGTATGCAGAACAAGACCCGGTTTTCCTTCTCTGCTTTTATGCAAAGGACAAATAGTAACTGCGCTAGGCAGCTTGTTTCAAGTTGGTGATCCAAGTAGTAGAGGCCCGGCTCTATCTAAAAGGCGACTTTGCCTCCATTGAGACGAAGAGGTACTGGGCCGAGTGGCCCGTGAGTGGGAAGTATTCCTTCATCAGATGATATGGAAGATAAAGAAGATAGCGAGCTGAAGCCCATGTGGCCTTTGCCAAAACCGCCATTGCGGCCCATGGAGATACCTGGGTTAGCCATGAGGGCGTCCGCTCGGTCAAAAACATTCCCATGGAACGCTGCTGCGAAGGAACTGTTCGAGGGCGTAGTAGGAACTGTAGCCTGCATTGCAGGCCCCAAGGCGGCACTCTGTGGTGTGATGGGAACTGATGTAGGTGACATGCCGCGAGGGTATGACTGTCCGTTCATAGTGCCGGAAGGGTGGAATAGAAAGTGCCAAGGCGATTTGTAGATGATGTTGCTTGTCTCTTTGATACTCTGTTGAATGGGTCGCAAACGTGCCCGAGTATCGGGGGGGAGTGGCACACTATTAGGCCCATACTTGATCTGAGAAATCATGTCCGCCCACGAGTGACTGAAGTTGCTGCAGAGACTCCAGAAACTTGCCTGCGTCCGAACGCCTGGCTCCTTCAACTTGATCTTAGACAGTCTGTTTTTGAGAATCTCTGTCTGCTGGATGACCTGACTACACATAGTAATCAATCCTTTCCAGTGCTGGAGAACACCTTCAGGAGTCCGCTGGTACATGGCATTTCGTAAGCCACCAGCCAGCTGGGCGTTGAAGTTGGGCAGTGTGCCCATAACGAGATCAGTAGATCTTTGCAGAGCCAGAAAAATCCGCTCAAACTGTCGATCCTCTTCTGTAAACTCGGATGACATCCCGCGACTTCCAATTGAGGAGAAGGATTCTCCTGATCGAGGAGTGGCCGAGGTAAGAGTAGCAGTGCGCCCATTGCCATTGAGATATGCTGCAGAAAGAGGTGTGGGCACTGGAACGTCGGTGGTAACACGCAGATTAACTGGATGGTGAACCAAAGTACCGTTGCGGTTGCGAGCCCCGTTGGATCTGCTGATAGTGGGAGTTGCAGATGGTTCTCGCGCATGTGGTCTAGCAGTGCGCTCGCCAGTTGAACCACCCTTGGGTCCGCCTTGTCGACGAACATCGGCAGCACTGACAGATGACAAAGTGACGCGCAGTTCCATGATACTGTTGTATAGGGACATGAGCAGACTTCGAATATATCGAGCATCTCCAAAATCCACGAATGTACCAATGTTGTCGGCCAAAAGTGTGCAAACATGGCCATAGGCACTGACCAGAGTCTGGCATGCCCTGTGCACGTTTTCGTTTTCTCGTTGGGAATGATCATAAGGCTCGGCTGACGCGTTTTCATGTTTCTGTAGCTCCTGCTCCAATTCTTCAACATGCGAGTTGGTGTTGTAGAACACTATTTCGAGACTGGAACGCTTGGCTGAGCCGTCACTTGTCAAGCCCATTAGCGCCTGGATCATGGGATGAATCTGGAAGACTGAGTAGAGGATTCCCTTGGCAGTTTCAATGACGGGGTCAAATATCTTTGACTCCCTGCGTCGTTCAGGGAGGATTGAAAGACGCCTCACGTATATCGGGCGTGCGAGGTAGGGTTCTGTTGGTGTTGCCGGACTCTTGGTTGATGCTTGATTTCCTTGCATAGCAGAACCGTGACTCAAACCACGATAATGACTAAAGCGGTTGTTGGCCTGCATCTCGTCAAGTGTGCCGAGGTCGGAAGGCTTTCTTGAGACTATTCCCATGCGCCTGCTGCGACCATCTGATCTTTCTGCTCGAAGCAGGCTTTCAGAGTTGCTGCGAACACGTTCATTGACATTGCCGATTGTCAATGGCATTACGCCAGGTCTTCGAAAAGCGGTGTTTTGCTGCGAAAGCCCTCGATAATGTGACCTTGACGGTATCGGAGGTGCTCGTGATCCAATATTGGGAGAACGAATATCAGGCAAATCGGCGCCCTGGACCTTGACAGGAAAGCGCCCACTAGCTACTCTCTTCAAGGGAAACCGGGGGGTTTCCGCACCCTCGCTCGATTCATCTCCTGTGTTGTCAGATTCGGATCGGCCATTAATGGTATATTGCTTCAGGTATCGCTTGATCTGCAAAGTAACTGCCACCTCCGTCACTTCATTGTCCTTTTGAATACCTTCGTGTGGAGGGCTCGCCGCTTGCACTTGAATTGCGTCTCGTGGTGGAAAGCTGATAGGGTTTCCTTCGAACTTGATCACCTGCAACGATCCCATGTCGGCAATGCATACGGGTAGCTCTCGTATTTGGTTTTTGGGTATAGATAGTACTTTCAATGAAGAGAGTCTTGCAATATCTGCTGGAAGAATTCGAAGTTGGTTCCGGCCGAGGTCAAGGATTTCCAAAGATGTCAGGTCACACAACTAGTCATGATGTTAGATGTTACTTAAATCCAGGGGGAGGGGGGATGTACAGGCATAGGGAATTCCTTGATCTGATTACCCCGGATGTTGAGGTATCGTAGTGATGTGCATTCGGAAAAGCGAGCAGGCAAACTCGTCAGTTGGTTATGAGACAATGCCAGTCTGGAGACCGTATAAGTATCGGCATCTGGCCGTGTGTTGGAGGACGAGTTTTTGGAAGCTGAACGTTCTAATTCGCCCTTCACAATATCGACAACTTCATCTGGCAGTTTCTGGATGCCTTTACGACTTAGGTCGATAGTGACTCCGGTTCGGAGTCCTGTGCTGACGGCACCAGCTTCTGCGGCTTGACTTTCGCTTTCGATTGCATTTTGCATAGCCTCGCGCGCGAGATTGGTAACCTGGGCTGCCGACATGCTAGTGGTTGAAAGAGATGAACTGGATGGGACGCTGCGCAGGTTAGGAATAGGAGGAGGCGGCGGAGGGCCGTTGGATGTGGCAGCTGAGTTTGGGACTGGACGGCGTCCAGATGTGTGGTTTTCGGGCAAGCTTCTGGGAATTGACGCCTGTGATGCAGAACCGACGGACGAACCGGCAAGTCGGTCTGGCCGCTCCATGGCGAACGGTTCAAGTATGAGGAATGCGCAGCTCAAGTAGGAAACGTGGGGATGGCGCGCCGGTGGAGTAACCGATCGAATCGAGGGGGTGGTGGTTGGAATCTGAATGACGGTATGTCGATGCTTGAAGGATAAGACGTTTCAGAAGCCCCTCTGTTGCTGTGTCTGCGGTTGTCTTTTAATCAAAGCGCAGGCGCAAACGGGGGACTGTTTGTCTCAGCGGGAGCCAAGCCTCGGGTCGTTATTTCTAGTGTTTAGGCCAATCAAGGCTGTGTGGGCGACGAGTTCGATATGGTCATGATTGTAAATTCAGTCAAGGCCAGAAGGCGGCGCGACGTTCAGGGTTTGGCCCGTTGTATTGAGGTGAGAGTGCGTGCGAATAGGGATCAAGGTGGAGCGTATTGCGTCGTCGGGCTTGAAGCTTGATTATAAGAGCGGCGATACCAAAAAGATCTGTTGAGTCAAAACAATCTAGCGATAGGATTTGTACAGAAATGTTGAAAGAGGAATGCTGCGGGAAGGGCCGTGGATGAGGTGATGCAGATTCGGGAGGCAATGAGGTCGGATTGAAATGCCGTGTTTGGTAAAGTTCAGCACCAGGAGCCGAGTAGGATGGAGAGGTAAGGGTGGTGAAAATAACTGGGATGACCCCCGTTGATTATCCCTAGACCTTGGCTCTGCTCTGTTCTGCTCTGCTCTGGTTCTGGAAGTTATCAAAAAGTCAAACAAAACAAGAATCAAGCTGGGTCTAACAAAGGGAGAGACAGAGAATGTCAGGAGCTCGCTCGGTTACTCGAGCTGCACGTTTCAACCTAAAGCTGCTGATGTAGCCAATGAATTTGAGGTAGCATTACTCAAAAAAGAATTCTTGGCAAGAGCATATCTAAGCATTAGGGAGATAGTCAGGTACAGAACAATATTTCTTGCCTCGTTGTCTCTGAATTTCTTTTCCCAGGTTCCATTCTCGAACCGCCCCTGACAGTAGTCTGAAGGCAAGTAGTCCCCCATGTCTCATGGAAGCTTGGATAGGGGATAGCGTATCAGATAGGGGTAAACTTGCATCCTACCATGGATGAAAATGTTTTGGTCAGCAGAGGCTGGAGAGGCTAGCAGGCCAGACATGCACTGGAACTGCTGGACTTTCAGTGGAAGAGTGGGGTAAACACAGAGCCAACAGATGGTTGGGTCATCCATCTCCTGCTCCAGCTCCGCCGTAAAGTGAAACACAGTGCGGGGCTGCTCATTGAACCTCCTCTGTGGCCTCACCCCAGAAACCTTTTTTATCACTAACAAGCACGTTTCTACATGCCTATTTGGGCTCTGAGTGGTTGCGGTTCAGCCACTGACGCACAGTATGAGCAGAGGAGCGGGATACAGATGAAATGGAGAGAAGCTAACGTTGGAACCCATGCTCACCGGTGGGAGGGATCAAGCTTACTTACTCCTAAGTTGTCTGTCAAGACAAGAATCAGTTACATGCCAGCCAAGCGATGGAATATGATACATAAGCCAACTAACTATTACCTCCTGCTTTTAGATGCGTGATACGAGACGAAGCGAAGGCGAATGTCAGAATATAGAATCTGGCACGATTTCGACAGGCTCAGGTGCGAGGGACGAGGGGTAATGACAACCTATGAAACGTCAAAGTCCATCAACAATCATCAACGATCGTATTCTGTATGTAGGAGGGCGGCCGAATGATTTGTCTGGCTGTGCTGTCTCTAGAGTTTGAACCCCTGTCCAAATCCACAGCGAGTAATGCAAGGTACGCAGTACTAAGCTAAGAGGTATGTAGAAAACAACAAAAGCTCTTCTTTTTTCAAAGACATCCTGTCATTTACGTTATATCATATCATTGCCCAACAAAGAGGGTAATTAGCCATCCTGGGCCATGGATTTGTTTCATTCAATTGCATCTTCTTTCGAAACCTCGCTGGAGTACAGTAGCAATAAACCACGTGACCTTGAACTCTCCATCGCTTTTATTGTAACAGGTTCTTTGTTGATAGCATTCTTCCTTGAACCCTGCCTGGTCTGGACCTAAAATGCAACACGGATACTGCGCACTGATCAAGACAGTTGGTTGCTGATCCGGTGGACTGTCTCCGAGTAAACGATCCAGTTGCCAAATGTAGAAAAAGATCCTCACAAAACAACAGTAAAACTTCCGATGCGACTCCGTATGCCAAAAGAAGCTTGCATTAACACAAACACAGACTATAACACTAACAGTAAAAAACTGTGCAAATCACCATTACTAAGTTGCCGGCAAAACGGTTCACCCTTGTCATAGCCACAACTCCGGTGTACTACTAGCCAATTTTCTGTCACATGTTTGCTTCACTGCGACTGTCGTGAATCATTCGCGAGCTTCACAAAGCAGGCATCATGCCTCCTCTAAAAAGAAGCAACTCGTGCACAGACATTGGATTCACTCTCCGACGACAATTCCATAAGGACGATTTCAGGTGAGCCGCAGATCAAACAATACAATTCTTTTCATCTTTCAGATCTAACAAACTGGTATTCACAGGCCTCATCAACGTGAAATTATAGAAGCTGCTCTAGATGGCTACGATGTATACGTTCAAGCTGCCACATCGTTTGGCAAGAGTTTGTGCTTTCAGCTGCCAGCAGTTATTGATCAAGGCAGTAAGTGACCGCATATCTAGAACATTTTTATCCTCTAACCATATTTTAGTTACCATAGTTGTTTCTCCCCTTCTCAGCTTGATGGTATGAGAGAGGGCCCCATTATCGCTAAGACAAGCTCTAACTCCCCCTCAGATCAACCAAGTTGAGGCACTCAAAGCTTCTGGTATTGAAGCCAGTTCTTACAACAGCCTGACTCCTTACCCTGACAAGGTTCGCATCGAACGTGATCTTGAAAGTGGTCACCCAAGACTGAGACTACTTTATGTCACACCAGAGCTGTGCTCTTCCCCACGCTTCCGTGAACGTCTGCAGCTAGTTTACAAGCAAAAGGAACTCGCTCGAGTAGCAATTGACGAAGCTCACTGCATATCAGAATGGGGTCACGACTTTCGAAAAGACTTCAGTCGTCTGTCATGGTTCCGAGATACCTTCCCAGATGTGCCAATCATGTGTCTCACTGCAACCGCAAATCCGCAGGTTCGTCAGGACGTACTCTCTATACTAAAGCTTGATCAAACCCCTGAGAAAACGAAACAATTCTTGATGAACCCCCAGCGCAAGAACCTACATTTGGAAATCCGATACACCAAAGACGAAGAAGACAACCGCCTCAACGACTTTCTTCGGTGGATTAAAAGCGTCTATGCGCGGCGCGACGGTGGTGAAAGGAGAGCGGAACTCGATCAAGTAAACGAACGTGTCGATAACGTTCCAGGCATTATCTATACAATATCTAGGGATGAATGCGAATCCCTCGCTGCCGCTCTTCGCGCAGAAGGGATCGGAGCGAAACCATTCCATGCCAGACTTCCCAAGGACGTCAAAGAAGAGACACTATCCCGCTGGATAAATAATGAGGTCGGCTACGATATTATTGTTGCTACCACAGCTTTCGGTATGGGCATTGACAAGGATAATGTGCGTTTTGTTGTTCACTGGCGAATCCCAAAATCTTTTGAAGGCTATTACCAAGAAGCTGGTCGTGCAGGTCGAGACGGCAACGCGAGCTACTGCTTCCTGTACTACAGCCGAGAGGACCTGGAGCGAGTGACTCGACTGATCAGGTCAGACTCAAAGGAGGAGACGAACCAAATCGCCAGACTCAAAAGCCTCCAGGCTCTGGCTCAATATTGTGAAGATACCGACAAGTGTCGGCATGCTGCTATATGCAAATATTTTGGCGAAACAAGCATACCTGACTGCGACTTTGCTTGTGACTGGCACAAGGATCCGCATGAGCTGGAAACGAGGTTCATGAGAGGCTTGGCAAGCGAGGAGTGGGTGAGCACGCAGGCGCAGCAAGGCACTTATGATATCCCAGGGACTTATGATGCGTATTATGATGAATAATGATACAAGTGTTTCGAGTACTCCTTCTTGACGACTGCAGTTGAGTTTGATCCTGCCGTGATGCTTCAAGTCAATGTCAATCCATGACTGGCCAATTGCCGTCTCTCCCAACTGTTGGAAACCCCAGGAGGTTGGGTATATCCCACTCCATGATATTGTTCTGACTCGAGCTGTTAGAAATGCCGAGTATCATATGTTGATAAGGTTACTTACATCGAAAAACATGTCTGGGCCGAAAAAGTCGGTGGTCAAGCTGTCTGAGGTCACCACAGGCTCGTTGGGTTCCATCGTCGCTTGAAATTCACGCATCATCACTACACAGTCGCGCAAAGTTGAAGTTACGGTCTCGTATACAATCGCTTTGACTGGACGTCCCGCTTCCGAGGCCCGAATATGTGCAAGATGAGCATTCGAGAACAGAAGTCTCTTGAGACTCAGGTTGCCTCGAGCTATGAAACAGCGAAGCTGTTTGCTTATCTCTTCCAGGACCCGAATCAGAGGTACACGTGCAGCCCTCGCCATTTCTTTGAGAATTTCAGACTCATGATCTGGCGTCGACTCGTCCTGCAGCTCACTTATGATCTCCAGTGCCAGGATGAGCATGGCATCGAAGCTCAACGCACATTTGAATAGACCTCGTCCGACAAAGGACAGCCGAGACATGTCGTCCCATACCCGCATGGGTAAGTCCAAGTCAACGCCGTTACTTCCAGATGCAATGACAAGAGCAGCCTCAACGCATAGTTTACGAGAGAGATAAAATTGAGGATTAGTTTTCGCTTGGAGCATAAAGTCGCGGTGAAGAAACAGGATGAACCGACGCAAGTGAATATCTATCAGCTTGCGATGAAACTCACTAGCCTCGAGACTCGATCCGTGTCCGAGATTTGCCTGGCCTTGATTGACTGAGTGGAAAAAGACAGCCACGTCCCTGCACTCCGCACGTAGTTGTGTTCCCATTGATATTGCCTTTTCATGCGTCTTCTCCTGGCGAATGTCGTTTAAGAAGCGTATGATTCCTGCACGCAACGACAGGGATTTTGAAAGGATTATTTGTAAATACGAGTCCGTAAAAGTTTCCATGGATTTCGGCGTCTGGGGAGAGTTAGACTCGAGGTCTGAATCGTTGAAGTTTGACGGAGTAGGAGCATCAAAGTCTTCCTCGGAAAGATGCAGTGGTAGACCGAGATCTAAACATGACTGGACAGCCAACTCTAAGGATGTGGCCCATAATCGAGCACGAAACTCTTTTTGGAAGAGCGATAGGCCTGAGAACAGCTTGGGGTCACGGTGAAGACCCATGGTACAAGCAGCGCGCAACAAAGAGCCAGCCGAGAGCCATGATGTTGCTCCACGGCAGTTGAAGGTTACTTGACGAGCAAGGATCAGTAGACAAAACAACTGAAATCCATCGAGGTTATATGTCGTCTTTTCGTTTGGACCTGTAAGCCACCATTGGGCATTCTGAATCCACGACTGTGCAGGCCGCCAAAGGTGACTAATCTCGACGTCGCTGTCGAACTGCGCAAAGGTGGTGCCGATAGCCATGATTAATGTCAGCCTGACCATCGAAACAGTCGGTAGCGAAGACGGTTGTTCGCTTTCCCAAAGTCTATCGTATTCCTTCCGGAAAGAAGGGACGTGGATAATACGGTACAGAGGTTCAAATGTGCGGAGGTAACAGGCGACAAGTTCATCGCAAACCGCCTTGGCAGGGAGAGTACCACGTAAGTCCTGAATTGGCTGTTCAAGGTTGGATGAGCACTGCTTCTTGAGGCCAAAACGTACACCGCGAGCTTCTTTCAAGACATCGTAGAAGTCTGACTTGGCGTCCTCCCACGACGGCTCGACCTCGACTGGATGAAATGTCCCTGAGACAGGAAACTACAACAGCGTTAGATTTGTACATGAATAGAGCTGGAAGTGGTAATCTCACCTTTTCTGCAGTATGAAGCCAATGTGTTTGGCCAAAAAGTTTGGTCTTTTCTGGTACGTGACGGAGTCTTGGTATGAAAGGTAGAATAGAAGTCGAAGATGAAGTTGTAGATACTTGAGGCGATGAAACACTTTGAGAGACATGGTTTGCACGATTTAATACGGGCGTGTTGTTATTGTCGGGTCTTGATGATCGAGATATTTGATCTTGAGCCGTGGTGTTAGTCCGATTCTGCGGTGTCGCGATAGCCCCATCCCTCCTCGTAGGTCGCGTCTCAGTCGCCGGTGAGGCCCGTGTCTCGTGAGCTGCTCCAACGGGACTTCCGTCGCGATAGGAGCATTGTATCGGCACCCTAGCCCGGACACAGCCATTACATGGTTGGCCCAAACTACATCGGATTTTGCGACGGCGACATTGTTCGCAGGACCGAGCGGGTCGCCTTCTACGACGTTTGAGCGACAGGGGAGATCTTCCAGTGGAGGATACTACCGATGATTCCCGTAGAGACCGTGGCATAGTGTTCGATGTTTAGATGCTGGGGAATATAATAGAGAGAAAATGTCAGGTAAATACTAAAGTAGAGTAAAGATGTAAAGCGGGTCAGCATTGAAATGGCGTATTGTTATTATTATATATTAAAAATGCAGAAAGCAACAACTAGTATTTAGAGAACTCAGTACGTTTAATCCTGTTGGAAGAAGAAAAGAATCAACTTTGACCATAGGATTATTTCATCATCGTTGTTCTAGCCCCCTGTTTCCCGATATATTGAGTCATACGGTAGCGACGAGTGCTAAAAAAAAAACACTATATTCAGGGCAGAACCACTCTGATGAAGAACAAGAGAAAGATTTCGCTGCAGGATCGGACCAGTTTGCAATTTATATGTTGTAGCCTGAGCTTAAATGCGAAGATTTGGTCCACCGAAATAGAAGAAGAAATTTTATTGTTAGAGAATGCTTTCTGAAGATATGATCAATATTGTCTTTTCATTGAAGTTATTACCTCTTTCATGTAAACTTGGAGCCAGGACTTTGCGTTACCCGTGCTGTAGAGGTGTAGCGGCTGGGGCGCTGTCCGGACTTGCCTAAAGTACAGAAGTAACATCAAGCATTAGCACACAGGATAACCAGAACATGAATCATTAGCTCGACTAATTGATTAGTAGTTACTAACTGCTTAGGACGGCCAAAAACTATTCTGCAATTCCTGCCCAGCCTCGGAGGCTATTCGTATTGGCTGAAATGCAATAGCTCTGGATTGATATCGAAGCCGGCATTCGTCAAGTATTACGATGGCGTATCAAATATCGTGATCTCTTGGCCATTCCAACGCATCGGGAGCGGCTGAAACCATTGGTCGCTATAGATGCTGTAGAAAGATTCTGATGATTGTTTCACAAGCACTATAACACGGATTCTTTCAGACTAAACGGGACATAAACGGCAAGGAGCCGTTGATAGAACCAAATCATTGGTGATACAATATCTTAGTAATTGCTCTTCTGTACTACCAGGGCGAACCTCTTCACTATTCAACTCCCAATAGTTCCAAGTCAGCTCCATCATAATGCAGCCTTTGTTGTATTATGAACCTATCGAACACCTCCTTCTACGGAAGCTTCAGTCCGAAGACGATATTGCTCGAGACATAGATCCTGGTAAAGTCTCAATTGTCGTATGCTCAACGAGTTCTCTCAAGATTCTACACATTACTGCCGGGGAGGGAAATGTATGACGATTCGATCCAATCCAAGAGTACCATGACAAATAGACGATAATCAGCTAGAGTGGCTTGCCACACGAAGATATCAAAGACCAAATGTACACTCCTACGGGGTAAGCCTTCGAAAGAAAGTTGATGAAGCTTGATCAGGTTTATAGGCTCGACATTGGAGTGAAAAAGAGGAGCTAATCATATGAACATAACGCGTAGCTGATGCTTTACAATATGGTAAACAAGAGACATAGCAGGCGGTAGCTGCGACTCAAAGAAGACAGGATGCTAATACCAAGACTCAGATACATCCTATTTCAGAAGGCAATTAAACAGCCACCCTAAGCACCCTATGTCTGGATGAAAGAGAAACAGAACATCTATGCTACTAGCCTCATGAAACAGTCAATAGTCTAGGCTCGTTGCATATACGAGTCTTTTGTGGCTGAGTCTACGAATACCATATCGTTAGACCTACCAGATTCCGTCCTGCTGGCCCTTTTCAAGGTCATGAGGCTATCAGCCAGAGTGGTACTGACTTCCTGAACTTGACCATAACAATTATCTAGCTTGAACTCGGAACTCGGATCTGGGTGGTGGTGGTGTGGATGACGCTGGTTCGCGAGAACCCGACACACTCACTACCACTCGAACGTCAGCGACTTCTTATCAGTTCACTCTAATAATGACTTTCTGTTCAAGATGCTTTATGTTCGGATGGAACATCTTCAGATTATCAGCCTAACCCGACGGCAACAGAGTTGGAGCTTCGGGACGTCAGGGGTAAACACCTAACTTATGTCTTGTTTAGGACTACGGACTCGAACATCACGAATATGCGAAGGCATATACGAGGGGTGTACGAGAAGCTCAGATATCAGCTGTAAAAGATACTCAGAATATCTATAAAATGGCCTTAATCCTCTTCAATGCTTCTAATATCATCCTCATCAAACAAGCTCCTTAGCACACTCTCACTCGTTACCACACTTTCGTTACAAATCTACTTCGCTTTCCTTCTTCTTTCAATCAAAATGAAGCTTTACCAAGTCACCGCCGTCCTGGCCTTCATCTCCACTGGTGTCCTTGCGACTCCTTCTGGCTACGACAAGGACAACAAGTCCCCTGAGAAGCACGGTGATGACAACTATCCCGGCAAGAAGGGAGATGATGACTATCGCCCTGGCAAGGGATATGGCAATGAATATGATGAAGAATATGGACCTGGAGGTAAAAGATACAACGGCAAGGGCCGTGGAGACAAAGGCAAGAAGTACGAATGGGACATTGAACGTTGTGATTGGTGCCCCTACAATTCCAAGAGCTGGAATGGATACGAACCCAAGGGTCGTGGCTACAAGCGTCCCTGCCCCGAAGACAAGAAGAAGTGCCAGAAGTACGACCACGACTACTCTAAGGCCACTTACTCAGGGTACTTCAGCGAGTCCCAGAAGTGCTCCAAGGGCGACGACTACAAGGTCACTGGCAAGGTCGGCGCCTGCAGTGGTTACGGCAAGGCCCAATGCCTGATTGTCCAGTACGAAGACTGGGAGAAGTGGTCTGACAAGATCGCCTACCTCGGCCTCTACTCGTACAAGAAGGAGGGCCTCAAGGACAAGAAGTACCTCAACTTCAACAAGTACTGCAAGAAGAACAAGTGCGTTGTTCCTGTCGAGAAGGTCCCCGGTTACCCCAAGTTCAAGGACAGTGTCTGGGTTGGAATCGACGATAACCAGTGCCGCGAGGACTACAAGAAGGGCGGAAAGGTCTACCCTCGTGGTCGATACGAAGAGGTCAAGTATCTCAAGCTCGACATTGAGGCCAAGTACTCCAAGAAGTGCGCCGAGTTCTGCTGCTGCGCTTAGGGGACATCAAAGTCATCGAAGTGAGGGACGATGAGAGAAGCGAGGAATATTTTACAGATGTGGCGGTCTCTGGTCACTCTTTAATTCAATGGCAGAACAGCACTTGAGTTCTTCTGCCTGGCAAAGCCTGGTCTCACAACAACATACGGATCACCAGCGACGGATATGGTGGTTCGTAAGAAACATTTAGATTTGGTATTTGGCCTGTGTCATAATGCCAGTCTAAAACCAAAGGGAGCTATGTGCTGTGCATTAGACATAAATAGCATTCATTCATCCCAACCCCTAAAACGCCAGACAAGACAAAAGTTTCTATGCTTGTATCTTTTCTTCATACAACAAGGTTTGCAGCAACAAATTCCTATCAGACAGAGTTAGTAAGGGGAGATCAATTTGGACATTGGGGTAATTGAAACACTTACAGGAAATTCCTTTTGCAGCGCGTTGGTGACGCTTTCTACTTCTTCTGCCAGACTTTGGACATTGGAGTCCCATGTTCGCATTTCTTTGCCAACGGTAACTTCGGCTCGTCCACTACCCTTTTCTCCAGACGCCTCGCCTCCCTCAAAGTACACAATACCGTCGAGCTGGTCCATTCGACCTACCAATCGACCTTGTTCGATCATACGTGCTGTAGTCTCCTCCGCCTTATCTGCATCCAGTCCCAACAGTGACCCCAAGGCTTCGAATCTGATGTTGCTGTAAAGTCGTGATGCACCAAGAAGGTTATGCTCAACAACGGCTTTGGCGAGTACCGTTGACCCATCTGAAGTCTTCGCCAGCTGATGTGGTTGTAATCCCTCGGCAAACTTGTCCACTTCCTCGGGGGACAAAAGTCGATCAAGAAACATTTTTTCCAAAATACCGAATTCTTCTAGCTGAGACGAGCGATCATCCTTGTAAAGGCGACCCAATGTACGATTTCTCATGGGACCTGCAGGGGCCAAAACGCCGCACTTAATAGCCATGCTGAGAGTATGCACACGATCGTCCTCATCAATGGCGGGGAAGAAGCTAATTTCGTGATATCGTTGAGATGCAGACAAGAAGTCACGCTGAGCATCAAGAATACGTGCTTGCGAGAGCTTGAAGTGAAGGTTTAGTTCTTGGTCGGCGACTGAATGCATGATATTTTTGAGCTTGTTGATATACATTTCGGCGGCTGTAGAGTCGTCTACTTCGAGGTAGTTTCGTACGATTCGGACCCATGTTCGAGCCTTTTCCTCATCGGTGATCTTGCGCTGGGAACTGTCAAGGGGAATATTGGCCAAAGTTTTGGCTGCGTCGAGGAAATCCTCGTTCTTCTCGTGGGCGGTAGCAATGAGCTCTCGGAGTGTGGCACCAGCGTCAACGAAGGATGAAGAAGAAGGCTGGGCGGCAATTGTGTCTAGCGTGCGGTTTCCGACCCCAATCCACAGGTCCTGGTTCTGTATCTCTCGAAGTGCTGCAATGAAAGACGAGAGAATGGTTCGGGTGGCCACGACGCCGAGCGCCTGGCCGAAGAAAGAGTCGACGATAGCATTGAGGTCGTCGGCGGTGGGTGGAGGCGAGAGGTCCTTGATGGTTGGGATGAACTGTTCGTAGACAGGGCCCTTTTCTCCGGAAGCAGACTCTGCTTTCGATATAGCACTCGCGACTTCAGGGTTAGGCGCCATTGTTGTTTCGTGGTTATTAATGGGGAGAATGGGAAGTGGAAGTGGAGGTTAAAGAGGCAGCAGCCTCGAGGTATGGAAGCTCGTAAAGAGGCTCAGGCGTTAGTGTGGAGGGGCAGAGGGGCAAGCAGGGGTCAGCTCTAGTGGGCAGGTGGGGTATAATCTACAGCTTAACAGCCGAGACTGAGCATAAAGAGTAAATAGGTAACTAAAGAACATCGCCTACAGGCTTTAACTGACCTAGTAATCCTCGTCTCCTATAGGGTTTATCTACCTATGTACTTGTCTCTCGATATCCAACGGCTATATTCACTGGACGTAACACAACGCCTATAGTACTGACAAAGTTCATTGTTAAGCCATCATGGTACCATCCATCCTATGATCACGTCAAAAACACCCCTGGCTCATAAAACAGTACAAGTTTACTTCTATCATTGGTTATCATATATCCTCGAGTCTTCTTATGCCACTTATAAACACAAATTCTCAGCTTATAACGACTGCCACACCTAAAGCCATGAATGCTATCCAAAGCATCCCACGCCTCAACGCCAAACCCAATTCAATCAACAGTTATGCAAGTTATACACCCGTCTCCTATCTATTTATTCACCCAGAGCAAAGTTCGAAGTGAGTCGAATTCGTTGCAGTCCTTATAGATATATGTCATGCTGCTTCTCAAGCTCGATTGTAGATCCTCGGGGTGGTAGCGGAAGACCAGCATGACCATAGCCCACGACAGCGAGGCGAATGCTGGCCAGGCGTAGTGGTTGATAGTGCTGTGGAGAGGCTCGGACGACACAACTGGTAAACCAGCGCCAGGTTTGACAGCGATGCGTGCGAGGGCGAGCATGACACGCGCAAACACGTAGATGACGATCTGTTGGTTGACTGATGAAATCTTTCCTGTGCGCTTCGATCGACCGCCAAAGACAAAATAACCACCGACAAGACCGCCTACAAAAGAGTCGTATGTTCCTATATATGTGGTCAGAATCTGATGCTCGTTCCGCACAACGACTTTTGGCGACGATGACGTACCCTCCTTTCCAGGCTCTGCGCCAAAGTATTTGAGCGCCAACATGGTCAGCTTATAAATGGTAGCGAAGCGCGCCAAGTTGGTCGCATGGTGTCTCGTCGCTCGAAGGACTAATTTGACCTTTTCTCGGAATCTGAGTTCGTCACACATTAGCTCACTGTCGGTAGGTTCCATGGGAAGAGGTTGAGCGTACGTTCCGGAGCGGAAGAGAAAGACCATCCTGTTGTAACGAGATTAGCGATTATTTGGATATCAACAAGGTTTTTGGTCACTTACACCAGCGCATGAGGAAACCGCACCTTGGTTCCGTAAATGATACCATTGCGCGCCGTCTTGACTAGCGATAATAGATCATGGTATTGCGGGTTCTTGACAATCTCCTCAAGCGTGTTCTACCCAGAACCAGTCAGCGCAAACTCGGTCGCGTGTCGCAACGAGGAAGTACCTTCAGCACCTCCAGTGAAGATTGCATGGCCATTTTGTCTTTTAGACCTCGGTGGAAGGAACGTTGATAGTCGGGACGGTCGCAGTATCAGGAGTCGATTGGTGTCGCAAAGCGCTGTACTCTCAAGGCATCGACCGTCGTCGCCTGGTTCTGGAGGTCGGGTTTAAGGTGTAGATGAGTCGTATTGGAGCATGGGTTGGTTAAGCACTGGAAAGTATCGATAAAGTTTGTAGATTCGTCGGTTTTGAAGACGAGTCGAGGCGCCCCCAGAGTACTGACTTATTCGCATGGATTAATGTCACCTGGGCTAGATCTGAGCCTCGGATGTTTGAGCTGGCTCGGCTTGTGTCCATTGCGGAGAAGACGACGTCCCCACTAGGGGAATGGACTACAGGGCCAAGTCGCCTATGACGCAGGGTAATTCATAATTCTCATCCACTGAAGGACGTCGGTTTCTGGGGAAGAGTCAGCACAAGGAATTTCACATGTAAACCGATTGAAGTTTAGCCAAGATCTGGGGAAATCCTGCTCAAGTTGCATTCACGTGGGTTAGATGAATTGAGAGGGTACGTATATCTCATTTCTAAAAATCTATTGCAATTTTAAAACTTCAATCCAATCCCTTATGCAAATGGATCCATCTCCAAGTATCCATATCTCTGATAGTAAATGCCAAATTCCACGCTATCCATGTCCCTTGATCTGTTCCCGAGAGAGTTATCCACTTTGACCTCGGTAAACCTGTAACCGTGAGGCTCTGCTATGCAAAACTACTACCAACCAACCCTTGGGTTCATTAGCACCATCGTTCATGAGGTTCTCTCCATTCAACTCCAAGAATATCAAAGATTCTTCGTTCGTCTCGTCCCTCGATTAGCTCTCCCTCTGTAATCTTTACCCTCTGTGGGCCTCGCATGACATCCTTGTATAGACCGCGCTGGTTCAGTCTCATTCCTTTCTTGGAAGCCAACAAACGCATACTGCGGTTGAAGATATCATTGCCAGTGAAGTACAGCAAAGCGGCACCTCTTTCGGATCCAGGCACAAGCAATAAATCAATACGCCGCCAAACAGGTTTATAGTCATCGTCGCTGAAGCCGTTGATCCTGGGGAGCACGCAGCAGCCGTGCCACTTGCTCCCGTCGCTAGCAGACCGAGATGATGCTAGTCGTGCCACGAGGAATCCTTCGGTCTCGAGGTGCTGAACAAGGCTGTCGAGGAAAGGTCGTAGATCAGATGAGAATTCTGTATTTGCCTTTGTGATAATGAAATCAATGTCACCAGATGATTTTGCTCCTCTCCGGTGGCTGCCTCCAATAATGAGCTCCACTTCTGGATCGATATGCTGCGCGGCTCTCTTTACAACAATACCCAGAGCCTCGACCTCATGCCGAGGGATTCTGGTATTGAGGTCGTTGTAGTGATCAATTCCCAACGACTGGTTTGGTGAGAGTTTGGCTTTGGCTTTCAAGTCTTCCAATGTTCGGAACCCTTGTGCCAGCCACTGTTGAGCCTGGCTGTTTCCAACACCGTAGATGCCCAGAAATAGTTGTAGTGCCTCGTCCATTGGCTCCTTTTGGGCGTAGTCAAGCCGCTGTAGCCTATCGGTTGTAACAATTTCCTCAATCTTTTGCGCCAGGCGAGCTCCCACGTTAGGTAGCCGTTGCGCCTCTTCAGCAGACGTGATCTTTGTCTCTTGGCGCTTCAGAGTGCTGATGGCCTTTCTGTATGCAGTTGTTCGCCAGTGGTCGTTGATACGGTTGTAGTAATCAGCCATCTTTTGTAGGACCTCGATTGTGCGGGCATTGGGATTCCCCGCTTTAGCGTCCTTTGCCCCAGCTGAGTTGCATGAAAATCGATCCTTGAATGTGATGTATTTACCGCTTGATCTCGTCTTCCTTCTCGGCTTACGCGCCCTGGTAATCTCGTCTTCTGAGCCTGACAGACATTGATCTTCTAATTCCGCATCTCCAATATCTGTGACAGCTTGAACGTCTTCATCATCTGCGTCTAATGGGAGGTCCTTATACTCCGTCATTATTTCGATGTATTCAGATAGCTCATCTTTATGGTTGTCTTCTTTGTGAAGTTGCTTGGCACCTCCGGCGTCTTGTAAGGCTGACAAAGAAGTGTTCCGAGAATGAGTCGCACTGCCTCCATTACTTCCAGGACGAGAAGAGACCATGTCTTGGAGGTTAAGTATCACCGGCTGCGAATCTGTAGCGGCAGGAGTCTCGGGGATCTGACTAGGATGAGCCGGCTCTTCACTCCTATCCGGAGTATCTTGTGGAAGTACGTGTTCCCACCGCCTAGAGTTTCTCTCAAGAGGCTTGAGTGGTAGGGAATAGACTGACTCAAGAGGACTGCGTGGGATAACTGAAGACTCATTTTCAGTGGTTACGGGCTGGCCTATTATATGGTACTTTTTTTGGTTGCAATTAAGAAGGGTCTTGAACTGGACGCAGTCGATAAAATATTCATCATTGACCACTTTGGGCGGAAGATTCCTGTTGGTTCCCTTCAATATACTCTCCAATTCATTGTACTTGATATGCTTCTCCACCACAATGTGAGTCGCAATGCGCGGTGCTCGCACCCACGTCGCACCGTATTCGCGCGCTTTCGTGATGCGCAATCTTCGTACCGGTGCGATATCATCATCAGGAACGTAGAAGAAGGTAATACCTTTCAAGATTTGCTCGCTCTCTGGTCGGGGTTTGAACACAGGCTCGCGCTTCCTTTTCTTCGTTGTCAAGCTTGGTGAAGGAGACTGATCGACCACTTGGCCGAGACTTCTTCCGGGAGCAAGGAGGGGTGAAGAACCGCTTCTATGCAGAATTCTTTGCATTTGGCGAGCAGTATCGGGTATAGGTGTATCATCAACCAGAATAGCTCCATCACTGCGCTGTTTCAAGAGCGTGCCGGGTTTGCTCTTCTGACCCATAGCTGTCATTGGCGTTGCCTTGATAATCTTTGCAGCTTGAGCGGGCGCTGGAGTTGGAGCCGAGGTGACTCTCCTAGGCGTCACTCTTGACTGTTGTGGTTCGTCATTGACGATATCCGTCACAGGGGGCTCTTTCGCCTGAGGATTAGGAGTTGGTGTTGGTTGTGGTTGTGGTTTTGATTTAGGGGCAAAGAATTTGCGACATTGTTGCCTTTCGTGATACTCTTCCGCATCAAACTCATCATCACTATCACTGTCAAGTATCTGGAGTTGTTTAAAAAATGCCTCCTTCTCCTCTAGCGAGGCCATCATGGAGTGTTTATGTTGTTGTTCAGGATGGATAGTGTTTCGTGAAGAATCGCGCGATGGAGTTGTCCTCAAGGCCAAGAAATTCTTGTAGGTGCTTACAGCCTGAATTAAAAGTCATGCGAGCAGTAAGACAAGTGAACGGAATAGGCAATCGGATTGTTGATTCATATATGAACAAAGTGATGTTTATTCACGTTGCGACCAAAACCAACCAAGACCTTATTGCTGATTGAAGGTTCAAGACTGTGTTTGATTGGCTTCCATCATATGCAAACCACTATAAGTTGCCAGGCTTCAACACTAAATTGGGTAAAAGACCCGCAAATAAGTCTAGGTTTCTTTATGAGCGTGAATATCATGGAACAAACGTGCTAATTATTGATGTTAATTAATTTATACAATACTAACTTTTGTTTTGTTTTTGTGTTTTGGGTTTACACCACAAAGAAACTCCATAATATACTATACAGCCAAACAATCCTACTAAAAATGGTTGAAGAACCAGGGTATCTAAAACTTAATAATCCCAAATCATGGCGCCGTTAGATGCGTGTAAATTGACTCGACAAATGCCCCTTTCACGCTGCTGTTGTGTCAAGTATTAAGCTTCCTCTTTCGTTGTGTGAAGTCTTGCAAGATATGACCTCACTGGGGGAATGCTACAGGAGCATGGGCAGGCTGGCCACCAAACATGCGAGCATCGATCATGGGGATATGGTTCTTCTCGTAGTGTTGGAACGCCGTAGGATCAGCTGAGTATCGGCTTCCAGACTCGTTGTCCATGTCGCTGACAACTTCTCGGGTGAGCTCGACATAATCATAGGCAAACTCTCCAATCTCAGCGTCGTCGATGCCCTGAATTTCAGCCTCCCCGTCGACACGTAGGCGTAGTCCTGGAATAAGGTTCATAAGGAAAAGAATAAGGCATGTGACGGTAAAAGAGTACAGGCCTCCGCAGACCGAGTCGGCAAGCTGATAACCCATTTGTGCCCAGTGATGCTCGACCCATCCACCCTTAATGCGAGAGTAACCGTCGAGAGCGGCGATAGTCGGGCTGGCAAAGAAGGCGGTGCAAATATTGCCAATGAGACCGCCGACACCGTGGACAGCGAAAATATCGAGGGCATCGTCGATTCCGAGAAGGAACTTGACCTTGGTAGCATAGTTCGAACCGGCAGCACCAAGAGCACCAAAGATAACAGCGGCCCAAGGAGGGACATAGCCTAAGATTTATTAGAACATTATGTTGAACAGAAGGGTATGGTGAATGTACCAGAGCCAGGGGTGATGCAGACAAGACCAGCAACAACACCGGAACAAAACCCAACAGTGGAGAACTTCCTCTCGAGGCGATAGTCCAAAAGACACCAGGTAATTCCGCCAACACAAGCAGCTAGGTTAGTTACGAGAGCTGCCATGACACCGCGGAGGTTAGCTGAAAGGGCGGAGCCAGCATTGAAACCAAACCACCCGACCCATAGGAAGACGGTTCCAGTCACGATATGAGTAGCATTGTGTGGGCGGTAGTTGAGCTCATGGGTTCCATGACCACTACGCTTGCCCAGCATCATGGAGTAAGCCAGAGCAGCGCTCCCTGAAGCAATGTGTACCGGGGTACCTCCGGCAAAGTCCAGGCCGCCCATCTTGTTGGACCAACCATTAGGGTTCCAAGTCCAACATGCGATGGGGTCGTAGACGATGGTGGCCCACACGAAGATGAAGATGATGCAGGGGAGCATTCGGCCACGCTCGGCGACGGCGCCAGTAGCGAGAGCGACGGTCAGGGCAGAAAACATGCCCTGATACACAGCAAACATCATGTCCGGGAGATGCGCCGAGCCCACCGAAGGACGAGCCAAGACATCACGGAATCCAAAGTTGGCCAGATCACCGATGAAGGGACCAGCCGTATGAGAAAATGTAAGTGAGAAGCCCCAGAAGAACCATTGAAAGGTTGTTACTGCGGCGCTCATTACTGAAAGCCATATCAGCGATAGAGCCGATTTGCGACGAGCGAGTCCTGAATAGAAGAAGCTACAAGGGGAAATGTTAGTATGAGCTAATAAAACAGCGGATAAGAGCGCCAAAGGACTTACCCGACGCCAGGAATCATTAATAATACTAGAGCAGTGGCTGAGAGCATCCACGCGATATCTCCAGCCTGTGTTGTTGCGGGCGCAAAAGGTCAGCTTGCGGGCGTTGAAAGATATGGAGCCCCACTGGGCAGTTTGACTGTGTCTGGTCTGGTCTTACTATTTCTCACTCACAGTTTCTCATGAGACGAGAACATTGTGAACAGAAGAGAGACAGACGAAACAGATCAAGGGAATGGATCAAGATGAAGACCAATACAAAGGATAATGTGCTGGTGATAGAGCAGAGAGTAGACTTACCTCGTACCAGTCATTGACATTCATATCGAGTGGATTTGCACCTATTGCTCCTGTACCGTTATACTTGAGGTTGGTTGCTCCTCTGGCGTCACCGTCGCCTCCCATGGCCGCGACGTGATTTCTGGCTTGGGAGGAGTGATATACAAATAGAAATGCCAAAGTTGAAGGATTAAACAGCGACAGGGAAGTCAAGGTCGAGACTGGTGAGGTTGCACGACGTGAGAGTGACATGCTGGGCAGAGTCGGCAGAAAGAGAAAGGGAGAGACAGGTCAAATAGAGTGAGAGGTCAGAGATAAGAGATTCGCAGGGGGTGCGACTCGATGCGATTGGGTCCTCGATTATTTTGGTGTTGAGAGAGTCCCAATTGTGAGTGTGAGTGTGAGAAGCAGAGAGGCTTGTCTGGTCTTGTCACTGAGATTTTGGTAAAAAGGGCGCGATTCCGGTTCAGGCGGCCGAGCAGGCAGTGAGACGGGGGGTACAGAGATAAGAGATCCCTGAAAAGACTGCTCCTACAGTTGGCCAGTAATGGGCAGTACTGTACTGTGAGAAAGCCTAATGAGCTTGGCTGATGTAGTATATGGTTCCTAAGAAACACCCCCTGGAGGCTGATTGTTTTAAGAAAGTAGGGTGAAGGAGTCTAGAGATAAGACAAGTCAGGTCAGGTCAGGTCAGGTCAAGACAAGACGCGAAGAAAAGGGTCCAGTCAGTTCAGTTTAAAGATCCTGGTATTGTCGTGACGTTTTTTGGGGCGACACAATTGAACTAGATAGAACTTGGACTAGTTGATAGAATAAAACAAACCAAACCACTATCAAAAAGGGCACTGTAATTCTGTCAGGTTTCAGTGGGGGTTCCCCGGACTAACAAACCAGTCCAGCACAGTGAACAGACGCTTGTCAATTTGCGGTAACCTCAACTAAGAATTGCCACTTTCACTCCCCTTCACTCTCACCACAAAACTTCCTCATAAACAGACGTCGCCCGTACGAAGTGACAGGAATTCAACTTGCGCGCGCTGCTTTCCTCCTCTTAACCCAGATTCATTCATGACACGCCATCTTAAGTTGTCTACTACCTACCTTGGTAGCATCTACTATCCTCAGTTCTGCTAGTCCTGGACACGATCCCAAGCCCCCGGTATGCAGGAACAACTCCTGCCTGGAGTACAGATGCATATCAAATCTTGCTCTACAGGTATCCGCTATTATCTCGCTTCACTATCCCACAGTGCTTCAGGTAAAAGTCAAGACAAATGGCCAAGAAACTCTTCTGTAATGCTGCCTTGTCTGCCATGATAACCCCAGATATTGGTACTGATAAGACCTGCACATACCCCAGATCCTTCATGTTTCCTTTGGGCCGGATGCCCCTGAATGCTTACATGACATTGTGTAGATCCCATGGGGCTTTGGTGTTGCTCCAACCAGCCAAACGCTCGGCTTCTTCGACGACCAACTTGATACAATAGTGTTTATGATAGTCGACCACTCATGTACTCACCAACATTTGATCAGTTATCCTATTGCTCTCGCCCTCGGCTTCGTTCTGAAAGCAGCTCTCAACCTCTCATTCACATCTCGATACAAAAAGAAAAGAGAGAATACTACCAATCCCGAGTCAGACATAACGAAACCACTTGCGGCCAGCCTCACCCAGGGTCTGTCTGTTGTCTGATAAGGACTTCCACCTTGATTGGCCATGCCAAGGTGTGGGGGGACATCCATGATCCAGCCTCAGCTTCAATAGACCAACGGTGACTCGACTCTCGGTGACCACAAACATCAATGCGTCTGCATCTGCGCCTCGAGCTTTCTTTCCTTCCTTCCTATACTGGATCGGCAGTTTCAGCGATACATGATAATACTCGTACCACTCAACTCTCAATTGCTTTTTCCTCGTTGGATGTGATATGATATTCGATATCTAGCCCCATGACATACGGTTAGAGGCGATGTTGGGCTCATTTGCTTCTGTCAAAGCGATGGATGATAACCATCTCCGCGGTCAGAACAGTAATATATTGTACCATATTTGTGTCAAGATATGTTTCGAGGCCCATGGTAGCCTATCATTGCACTGCCTCTCCCAAATGAAATGAAGTCGATACATCAAAGCCTAAAAGCAGATGGTACCTCATCAAGGATGAAACAAGAGTCAGCATGATACTATTGATAACGAAGATGAAATTAGTAATGAGGAATCATTACGTTGTAGCAACTTAATCTTAAGAAACAAAATGGGCAGTGTACTACTCTCAGCTCATGTACCCCTTTTCGTATGCAGTCAAACTAAACATTGCTATCACTCAGCAGTACAACATACTTGCAAGAGATTCTATTTCTACAATTAATCGAAAGTCAGTTTCGCTTGAATAAGCTTGCTATCCGAGACTTATTTCTATTTTCATTTATCCTAGTTTGGTTTGCAGCGCTGTGTCACCTAAACCAAAGATAGTTCATTGTCTTGATGCACATAAACATGTTGCAAGAAGACAAGGGGCAGCATAAAAGTTCCAATACCCCTATGGAATGACAACGTCTGTTAAAAGACTTGGCTAGGAGCGTGTGTCAACCTCTGAGCTTTAGGGTGGGAAAAAAAGAATCAACTGGGGCTGTATTCTCAAACGACGGAAATCGAGTTACTGGTTTTATTTATTACGCTGATTGTCCAGTTCTCTGATCTATTGTAGAGATGCAACTACAAGTTGGACGGTGCCTCGCATGTGTGCAACCCGCAAAGCTGGGCTAGAGTATATTCGCTCAAGTCAAGATCCGCCTCGTGCTTTTCCGTGTGTGTTACCAAGTCCAATCTATCTGCAGCATTTAATGTATTGTGTCTGCCTACATTTGGCAGTGCCCGTAGTAAGAGACCGATGATGTAGGGAAATATAAGATAGGTTGTCGCGACGAATAGCTTGTGGGAGTACCGCGTGTACTAAAGGGGTCTCTGCATAAGCTCCCGTCTTCTCGCATACCATACAGGTGAGATATAGGAGGCGGTGGAATAGGTGATCTGGGTATTCTAATATTAGCCAGTCGTCCTCGAAAGTGCCCTTAAAACTTACCGTCTCAGCAATATCGATCAGTGGTCCAAGTGCCGAGATACGAACGAGCATGTCGAATACGCCGAGGTTGTCGCTTGTCAACCACAACGCAGGCCAGCAAACCCAGTGGCCGATCTTGATGTAAAACATACATTCGATCAATCCTCCGATCGAGCAGAGACCAATGGCTCCCATCACTGCAGATTTCCATGGGCCTGGACCTTCGTCGCAAAATACACAACAGTAGGTAAACATTCCAAGACCACAAGCCTCAATATCCCATCGCTGTGAGGGCGAAAAACGATTGTGTTAGCAGGTGTAGAATGTTTAAAGCGCATAGTAGAAACTTACAGAACACCTCAGCGGCTCCAGAGTGCCTAAAATCATGAAGGTTATCAAGACTCGTGCCACCATCTGGTCGTAATCCCCTCCCAGGTTCTGTTCAAGTCCAGGTAGTTTCTCACGAGTGAAAAGAAGTATGAGGCTGAGGAAGTACAATTCTTCTAGATGATGTTCAATGAAGTAGCTCACGGCTCGCCTGATTGACCCCTCCCAGCTTATAGGAGGGGTCTTCTGAAGTCTTTTCCTAGAGATTTTGTTCAGGTCCAGCTGTACCGGTGTTCTATTCCTGTTGGATCTCACTTTTCCGTTTTGTTTCGAGCTGTTTATGTTTTGGCTCTGGTTCTTCTTATTCTGAGCCGAGCCGTTCCTGTTCTGATTCGAGGTGTTCCTATTCTGGTTGGAGCTGTTCCCATTTTGCCTACGAGCCTTTCTTTGAGCTCTGGCCAATCTCTTCCTCGCATTTTTGCCATTTCCATTACCGTTGGCTTTGCTGTTGACGTTGCCGTTGGTGGCTGTCTCTGCAATGGACTCTTTTTCTGATTGATCTGGCTGCGCTGAAGTGTTAAGACCGCTGGGTTTCGCTTCCTGCTTATTCCTCTGTTTGGCGTCTTCAAGTAATTTCATCGTCCAGCGCGAAAGGAAATATAACACCAGACCGACGATGGGAAACTCAAAATCGTTGAGAATATCAGATATGAATCCACGATCGGCGAGAATCTTTCGGAGCGCGGCTAGGGGGGGTGTTGAGAACGACACCACCCAATAAAGGATGTGATGCCTAAGAGATATCATCGTGATCAACAAGAATTAATACAAGAGGTCGTGATGATAATCTTGACTGAGAAATGCAAGAGTACTGAATGTGCATACATTGTAAGAAACGAAATGTTGATTCGTTCAGAAGAGTGCACAAACGACAAAGAAAAGGTGCATAGGATAGCAACTTCCAAATGCATTGGGTGATAGCCTCAATAGCAGGTGCACACGAGAGGGACCAAACAAACGGCAGAAATTGATTTAGTTTCTACCTGCCCATTGTACTTCACATCACATGAGCATAGCAAACGATTGATCAAAGTGCGTAATGCGCACTAGTGTGCAGTTTCTAACAGTAGTTTATATTCAGACACAAGAACAAGACTATTGTGTAGAGGTTGTATACAAATGCTTGAGTTTATGAAATGATGCCTATCTCGTCCTTTGAGATTGAAGTAACTCTTGGATGATTCACTGTTATCTTAGTCACAGAGTATAACTCAAAAAGTTGTGTTGAAGCATTTATTACTGTACTGTACTGTAGACAGTTTCTTGCCTGGCCATCTATCCTTCTATGATACAAATGGGCGGCACGTGATCCCTCACCAATAGCCAAACAAGAATACAAAACATTACATGTACTTGATAAACCACGTCCCTTTTGTGGATCGCGTTTGGTGTAAAACAGGTGTCCAAAAATCCTTCCCAAATGCTCCTTTTTCCAATGCACGCGCATGTATGTGAGAAGCGGTGATGCTTCCACAAGAATAAGTACCCAAAATAGTACTCCAAGACTCGATAAAAAGCCGTGTAGAAAGTACGCAACCGTTCTGGCTGCTGAGAATCATTACTGAATAATGATAAGAGGTAAAAAGCACAACTCCGGGTCGCTAAATGCATCACGAGCACCAACTGTAAAAGGTACTCCCATCATGATAATCCAATTAATGTGGTCTTGTTATTTTCCCTCGGTGCTTCTCTTTTAGACGTTGCCACTGAGCGTCCTGAATCTGTCCTCAAAAGACTTAACTTGCTCCTCCTCAAGGAGTTTTTGAAGGCGTCGTGTTTCACGAACGGCAGCCTCTCGCTCATCTTGAAGGGTGAGCACCTCAATCTGAGCTGTGCTCATTCTGGCAATCACATCTTGCATATCCTTCTCAGCGTCCTCGAGCGCCTTTTCTAGCTCAGTCACTCGCTGGCGGAGTACCTCCATCTGCGCAGCTTCCTCGAAGGACTTCTCGCTCAAGCGTGGGGACCGGAGCGATCCAGGGAATCGAGGTGACAGGGGGCTGAGAAGTGAAGGCTTGCGGTTGGCCTGGAAGCTAGGAGATCGAGGGCCATAGAAGCTGGCATTGTTGCTCATACGCTGAAGCTGAGCATTGTGGGCGTCGCGGATAGCGGTAATCTCATCCTCGTGACGGTTGACTCGGTCCTCGGATGCTGTTTGGGCGGCAATAAGCTTCTCCTCCATGGACTTGAGGCTAACTTGGAGACCAGCAATGCGATCCGAGTTGCTCTTACGATCGTTGTCGCCTCGAATAACAGCGTTTGAGAGGCGCTCTCGGAGCTGTGCGTTGGCTGCAAGCTGCTGCTGGACTTGAGAGGCGAGCTCTCCAACCCGACGGGCCGAGTCATTGAGCTCATCAGCAAGAGCGCGTTCACTCTCGATACCCTTGGTCTCAAGTTCGCTCATCGTCTCGTACTGACTTCTGAGGCTGTCAATTTCAAACTTGGCGGCATCACGCTCAGAGACTGCAATGGAAAGAGTGTGCTCGAGACGCTCAACAGCAAGCTGAGTCCTCTCATCCGCTCCGGTCTCATGCTCAAGTTCCTTGATTCGTTCAAGCGACTCAGCATAGGCGGCCTTCAATTGGTCATATGCCTTTGCAAGCGACTCGGATGTTACTGGTGTGCTACCGAATGAATTGCTTCCAGTGCTTGAGCCACTTGAACGAGCGAAGGAGGGGGGAATAAGGATGTCCTTCTCCTCCAAGAGCGCGCGAAGCAGGGCAATTTCCTGCTCGGCTTTATCCAGATCCATTTTGAGACCACCAAGACCGCTTTCCACCTGCCACTTCTGCTCAAGGGCATCTTCAGCTCGGCGACGCAAAACGTTGATCTCAGTACGAAGGTTGGAGATTTCTCGTTCGAAGCCGGCCTTGCGTGGGTTTGCTGAAAGGAGCCTCTCCCGTTCATTCTGTAACATTCTAATCTTCTTCTCATTTTCGCGGTTTTGGAACTCCTGACGGTCGAGAAGGTTCTTCAAGGCGCTGTGAAGGGCATCTCTCTGAGCCTCGACATCCTTTAATCTCTCGGAGAGTGCTTCTCTGGACTCGGTCTGCACGTTTTTAACACTGTTAGATCTAGACAGACCTGAAGGGCGCTGGCCACGGAACGAGCCAGTGGCGACCGAGTTGGATCTAGCAAGGCCGCCACCGAAGCCACCAGACATGGCACGAGACATGCGAGTGTTGCTAAGCGACGGCGTAGGGGAACCAGGTCTCGATCCGCTTCGCAAGACGTCGTATTCCTTCCTGAGCATGTGGAGTTCCTGCTGCATCTTTGAAGACTCATAGGTCAAGTTGGAGTATTCAGCAGCCTCTATCTCAAGGCCCTCGACACGAGCCCTCAGCTGGGGAACAACCTCATCGCGGAGGTTGTCTCGCTCGCTGGTAGCCTCGTGGAGCTCTCCTCGGATAGCGTTGATGAGGTCCTCGAAGTTGTTCTTGACAACGCGCTCCTCTGATAACCGCCTCCTGAGGTCGCCGCAGGTGGTCTCAAGATCCTTTAGTCGTCCACTGGCGTCTTGGTTGTTCATTTGGACAAGGTCAACTTGCGACGCCTTTTCGGCAAGTTCCTTGATCTGCTGATCAAGCTCTTTTCTTCTCCCCCTCTCATCTTGGAGTTTGTTTGTGAGTTCTAATCTTATCGAAGCCTTCTCTTGTTCAGACCTCCTTTGAATCTTTTCAAGTTCCTCTCGACTCGGCTCGGTCTCGCTCAACTTTGCCGAACTGTAACCTGAGTCGGAGTAGTAATCGCTCGACCTCTTACCAGGGGCCTGGGGGTTGTTCATCTGTTCCTGGAGCCGGTCTACCAGGTCTTCCAGGTCCATCTCGCGCCGAATGGAGCTTGCCAGCTCGGCGCTGATGGCTTTTAATTCGTCTTCCATTTCGTCGATTTGCGCGTAAGCGGGGGACTGTAGAACCGATGAGTATGAGTTACGATAAGTCAAGATATCCGTTACACTGGCGGCATATTCTTGATCGATGGGTTGAGGGTTGCTAACCGTATCATTGGCCGCGCCGTACTTTGAAGGAGATAACGGCGAGTATGCGGACGAGAATTCCGTCGCAGAAGGTGAAGGTGAGGGCGCTGCCCAGTTGAAGAGAGAAGCAAATGGTGAGTTCTGGCCCGGCGACTTGGGCAAAGGCTTGTTGAGCTGAGGCGATGGTGTGTTTTGGCCAGATGGTGAATGGGTATCATCCGGTGATGAGTCGTAGTTCGCAACGTCAATTGTGACCTTGTCGAGCTTGAGATGTGGCGGAGCTTGCTTTGGAACAAACATGGGAGCGGGAGCCAGTTTTGGGTGTGATATAGTATTATCGGATGAAGGCGATTGAGCTCTTTGAGAGTCAACTTCAGAGTGGTTTTTTGGCTGTGTTGGTTCGGCGGGGTCAGGAACAATGACAATTTCTTTGTCCCTCGAATTAATATTTTTGGTTTTCTTGTCTTCGTTCTCGTCGTTATCGTTTTCTGTGTCACTCCCATCAAGGATAGTCTCGTGAGTAACGTCTGGTCCAGATTCTGATTTGGATTCGGATATCAAATCGTCATACCCATCCAGGACATCTGAGAAGTCAGAGCTGGAGGCAGTAGGGCTGTGTCCTGGAATGTTCTGTGTTCCAGGGGTTGTCGCGGCAAGGGACGCCAGGTTGACGTCGGGAGCTCTAGAGAGGAATTCGGGTCAGCAAACGCTTTCTGCAAGGGAAGCCAGGGGAGGCAAGTTGGCCATGTGAGACATGACGACAAAGAAACAAAGAATACAGGTGAGGGCAGAACTCACTGGGCGGTTTGCGGCCCGTTGCGAGAAGCGGAAGAAAATTCGTAAAAGGTAGGACTGTCGATAAGTTCAGGCCTAGAGAACCTTTGGCTCGGTAATGGCAAGTCAATGGGCGACGGCACAGGTGATCCTGATGACGAGAAGCGCAGAGCAATCGCCGATGCGGACGAGGAGAGAGGTTTGCGCTTGATGAACCCTCCAAAGGATTGAACAGAACCGGAAGGCGAGGTGACAGAGTCGGGGCCGGGGACGGAGGACGAGCCGGGCAGGACGTCGACCGTCTGAGATCGAGCGAGAGTTCCTGAAGATCGCGGAGCGGGTGCGGGTACGTTTGATTCTTTTTGGAGTTGAAACGAATGGCTCGATGCTGAAGAGGACGGACGAGAGTCGGCGTTATTATCGACAGGGTAATAAGAGGTTGAGGTTGCAGCAGCAGAAGTTGCAGATGTGCCAGGAGGTGTCTTGGTATCAGAACGAGTATCAGAAGATGCAGAAGGCTCCGTTACTCCAGACCCCGGAGCGGAAGCAGCCAGGGCGGGTTCCATATTTGGAAGATATACCGACCGGTCCTCGCCAGTAGGCTACGAAGTACAGCACAGGACCAAAAGGACGCTTCACAGCAAGTCTTGGTCTTGGGCGGCGGTAAGATGAGCGGGCGATGTGAGAGAGAACGGTAGAGAGGTGTGAGGAGTGGGGGTGAAGTTGTAACGGAGGAGGGTGTGTCGCACGACACGACGCAACACAGACGCAGACACCGACACTGACACACCAATAAGCCAGGTATAAGTTACAGGTAGTACTTTGTACAAGTGGTATAATCTGTACAGTTGGTAGGTAGATGGTGTCTTATCACCGGAATAAGAATCATCAACGGGTGAGGGAAGGGAAAGAAGAGAAATTTGGCCCCTGGGGAGAGGAACGAAGCGAAGGGAACAGGAGCTTGGAGCGATGGCTGGGTACTATGCACGATAGTAGTTTAGGTAGTCTAGGCGGTTGATTGTAAGGTCAGGGGTCCAATTATGTTTTCATTTGATCTAAGCTTAGCTCGAATTAGTTTAGGAAAAGGGGCATGGATTCGATTCGATGATGACGAAGGTACCCCTGCACTAAACACCCGCAAGGTCATAGGTAAGTTTACTTTGTAAGGCCGATCGATCACTATGTGAGGGGCGAACTGCATCTCCCAATCTCATGTGAGGGCTCGAAAAGAATGGTGAGGCTTGATATTAGAGCTGACTTTCCAAGATCGCATGTTCGCATGGCATTGGATCGTGGGAAAACAAAGGGAAATAAAACCCAGCAGATAATAGCCGCTCAATGAACCAATCAAAGCATTTCTGTACCTGAAAGGTTAATCGCCTAACCAATTGCAATTAAACAACAAGGATGTTCTGGTGAAGGTGGTGACCAACGGAAGGGATCCACTGGGAGGGATTTGCCGTAAAGTACCTATACTAGCGCCCTTTTCTAGGCGCTACCATAACAAAACCTTCAGGGGGAGCGACCTGTACTACCTTGACATTAAAGGTGATACAAGATCCAATTACATGCGCCGCGCAAAGAACGGTACGGCATTCAATCCATTTCAGGCTCTATAATCCTTTCAAGTGGAGGAGTATGGCAAGTATCATAATACCACCTTCCAAGTCTTGAAGATCAGTCTTGTCCCTTACAAGTACGCATAGACACATTCAATTAGACTCATAAAAGTCCCCTATATCTTCATCTCGTCTCGTTGACCAGATGGGACGAGAGAAACGATCTTGTCATGGATCAATCTGTGGCCAGTGCCTCAGGTAGCTCAATTGCTCAATGTCGTTCAAAGGCCGAGATGTGAACAAGGATATAATGCCAAATTTGGAATTTCAAGCATGTCCTTGGCCTCTTCGAGTCACCTGCCGCCCTCTTTTTAGAAAAATAAAGGTGATGCGAGGCGGAAAATTGTGTTACCGTTATATTAAGGCGGCGGCTATCGAAACGTTTCCACGATTCTATGCATGTGCGTGTAACCACATGTTAAACAGTGGAAACTCTCTTTTTTTTTTGTCTTCTTTTTCTTTTTCCTTTTTCTATGCACAAGTTTAAATTCTCCGAGCCTAAAAGAAAGGTTGCCTACCACTGCCAGTAATAGTCCGTCTTGTATAGGTAGGTATCTACCGTCCAGAGTATGATGCCAGGACAACATTGATTTCTCCGGCAACACATTCAGCTCAACCGCCTCATGATCCAGGGGCTCAGGTAGCGCCCCTAGTTTAGCGAATGAGGTGCTAAAGAGTGTCTAATGAGCTATAGAATACCGAACGAAGTAGGCCACGACTGGTTGCGTTTAGCGCCTGGCAAACATTCATGAAGAATCTCACAATTAACAGTCAACTCTAGACTCACTCCGTTTCTTTTTATACAGCTCTAATAATAATTGTACTTTCTATGAGTCACTGGCGGTGAGGGTACAAAATCCTCACTAAGCGCTCTGTTAAACAAGACTCCATCTTCAGCTCTTGTTTGACATGATCACTAGAAGAATAGGTTGACATCTCGTGGACTAATGATAATGTCTAAGTGTTACAACGGATTCGAATCGCAGGGTGCCCCTTGTTACACACCTTATCCTCTGTCCGTTTTCAGGGTCTTTCCCTTAGATCCGGATCACAACTGGCTTGAACTCTATTGCTGTGACAGGCAGGGTCATCGGCGGTCGAGTATAACACAGTCGATGCTGATATTATAAAAGATTCTAGCGATGAATAATTGTTTGTTTTCGCGATAATGCACCCAAATTAACAGGCCCGACCTGCTGTCGTTATCATACAGATGGATCACAAATTATCCAACACTATTGAAAGCCAAGCATCGTAGTCACTTGGTCTAATAAAGATGCACATCATCCTGACAGGGGTACATTGTAGTACAGGGTATCTGTGCTTTTGCCTGAAAACTCAAGACCAAGCCAAGTTACCTTGAACAACAGACTTGTCCTGAAACGTTCATATCTAATCTAGTCAAAGTGGCACCATTAACCGCAGATCTTTACAATTCTCACACAATCACTGTAACGCTTCAGCTTTATCACACGTTAGCACATTGAAAACATGCTTGAAAGGACAACAGATGCAACTACTGACCTTGGATAACCTCCACTGACTCGAAATTAGGTGGCGCTTAGAATTGTGACGCTGCCAGTATTGAACGCAGATCGATCTTTCTTAAACACACTCCTTTTTATCACATCAGCTAACGAGGCGCTATCGTTGCTGTTTCGACGACTGCTCCAAACCAAGTCTGGCGCCATCACATCCTAATTTCCCATGGGGTATGGGGGGTAATAGGCCGCCTCTCTGAAAACAGGTAGTCGATGCGTGGTACAGTCGGGCTGTTATAGGGTATTCGTTTCGTGTTAGCCATGAATCGTGACATGTTTCAATGCACGACATACAAGGACACGACGAACTTGATTAGCGAAAGGCAGTCTGATGCTAGTTTGTCAGATGACTTTAGAAACGGTTCTCGTATCGGATACTGAGTTTAGTCTGGAGGCTGTTATGGTGGCACAATGACGGCCATGTGCTGCCCCTGTTAGCAAGACATGGCTATACAGAAAGTTGCTGTCGAGAACACTAGCCGAGACCCTTGATCAGGGACACGCACCAGATGGCAGGTGACAGGTACCAGCAACCTGGAATACCAGAGAAGTTGTGTACTGAAACAGGCCACTGATGAAGGTAGGCATGGTGATCATCAGCTAGAGTTGAGCCGACACTACTAGTCGACTCATCGAGCCACGCCAGAAGGAATGTACTAATACATCACTATGAAGGGAGAAAAAGCACGATATAGTAGTGGCTTACCAAAAAGCGAACTATGCGTATTCTTAAGCTCTGTATTATGAGACTATTTCGTGATATACTTCCATTTCAGCAACACCATGCACCAACTTCTACATCCAATATAAACGCCCTTTATCCATCAATAACTCACGCAACGCTTCCTTTGGGAAGCAATGTCCATTGCCCTCCACAAGAACACTTGCGCTGCTGTGCCAGGACAAACGTAAACCCAGGTCTACTTCCAAAGATATCCTCCATCACAGCAGTGCACCTGGAGCAGCGCCTCCACTGTTTGTTGGGGGAGGGTCTAATCTGCATCCGCTTGAATACATCGACATAAAGCATGCCCCGTGCCTTCTTCGCTGTCAAGCTGTGTTCGTCATCCTGGACTTCGAGAAGATCGTAATTTGCAAAAAACAGTCGGCCCGGATCTACAGCGTTTCGAAACGACGGAAGATCTGTGGCGAAGAACTTCTTGATGATCTGAATAAACGCCGAAGGGGGTGACCCTGACAGGAGCATGGAGAGTTCTATCTGCGAGCGGGTCGATTTGACCGCCATGTCGATTTGCTTTCCTTGTGGTGCGTTCTGCTGACTCTTGACGAAGTTTGGCAGGAAAATCTGGTAGGCTTGTCGTATCTCCGTGCTGAACTCAGTGAGGAGGGTTTCAACCTCGGAAACCTTGACGAGTGCGGAAGATGTCACCTGCTGCATTGCTTGATATGCCTGCTGTAACTGAGGGGCCGCCCTGCCGCCCGAAGCACCCTCAACAACAGCTGATTGCCTCCTGTAGAACTCGATGGCCCGGCCACTCAATCCTTCCAAGTGTGCCAGCCTTCTGCAAACTGCTGAAAGGAATCCTCGACTGGATGAGCTCATTAAGAAATGAAGAGCAACGTTGTTCTTTTCTTGGAGATAAGAAGCTACCTCATGGAAGCGCTCCCGAGTCAATAGTGCTTGAAAATGACTGTCGTTCATAAGCTCAAAGAGAGAGTCCATGAGCCAAGCGATTAGATCAAGTGCCCACTTTGCACAGCCAACAAGTGTCGCCATGACCTCTGTATTCATGTTAGTAGCTGCCAAAAATGTGCGTACCGTGTCCGCTATAACTCACCAGGTTCATCCAAAGGACTGAGCTTTTCTCTGACCGTAACAGGCGTGTTGCTGGCAATAGTGATAAGAACGACCACGTTACGGACGTTCAGAAAGAGCATGGAGAATTTGCCTAGGAAGGATCGGGGGCTGCAATCTCCACGGAATCCAAGCGCGTTCATGATGCTGAGGCAGTACTGTAGAGAGCCGTTTCGAACAAGGGAATCGTGATGAGTGTCTTCTGAGTAGTCGATCTGGATTTTAAGGATCCTGATAAGCTCGGTGACCCAGTCTTGGACAAATCCTGCTTTGTGTTAGTGATATACATAGTAATGACTGGAATAAGCACACACTCTTCTTTGTTGTATACGGCCTCACAATGGCAAGTATATCATCGTAGTTGTTCTGGTGAAACATGGCTGGCGCAGCAGTGACGCACAATGCAGCAATGCTACCAGCATAATTGGCTATAACTGGTTTAGATATGTTTGTAGTCAGTAGTGCGAATGGACATACCGTCTTGCATCAAATTTCCAATATCACCATGAGGGTAATGTAGCTTAGTCCATTTGATTTTGCCGTCTTCACCCATTTGCACCATCGAGCAATATGTGGGCGAGAAGGCGATT